GAGATTCGAAGCAACAATGAATGTGTGGACGGAAATTTGCTTCGAACAAAAGCTCTGGAGCTTGCAAAGTTGATGGGTATTACCGATTTCCGAGCTAGCAATGGATGGCTAGAAAAGCTGAAGCATAGGCATGGCATTGTTTTTCGTTCCCTACAAGGAGAAGCAGCCGAAATCGACCTGAACAATGTTGAGCAGTGGAAAGATGAAGTATTGAAGGGACTCTTGAAAGAATTTGAGCTAAAGAATGTTTTTAACTTGGATGAAACAGCTCTTTTTTTACAAGTTAACGCCGAATAAAACGTTGTCTTTCAAAGGCGATAGATGCACAAGTGGAAAGAAGAGCAAGGATAGAGTCACTGTTCTCGTCGGATCAAATATGGATGGAAGCGAAAGATGCCCTTTATTCGTGATTGGTAAATCGAAGCATCCGCGTTGCTTTAAGGATGTCAAAAAACTTTCTGTTTTGTACGAAGCAAATTCAAGAGCGTGGATGACCAGCGAATGATTTGAGAGCTATCTCAAGAAATGGAATTCAAATTTGATCAAATTTAATCGGGAAATTTTGTTGTTTATTGATAACTGTCCAGCACATCCGAAGCTCAATTTATCAAACATTCAGATTAAATTCTTTTTGCCGAATGCAACTGCGGCAATCCAACCAATGGATATGGGAATAATTAAAAATCTGAAGGTCAGATACCGAACAGGATTGTTGAAACAAAGAATTGCAGCTGTCGATGCAAAGGCCAAATTCGAATTTAATCTTTTGGATGCACTATACTTACTCGAAGAATCCTGGAATGACGTTAAAGTGGAGACGCTTTCAAATTGTTTTCGTAAGGCCGGATTCAAGAGATGTATGCAAGATGAGCCGCCATTTATCGAAAACAATAACGACGACGATAACTCGCTACAATCATTGCAGGCTATCTGGAATCAACTTATTGATAGTGAAGACGTTGATCGATCAATCAATCCTTTGGAATTTGCTTGCGCCGACGAAAATGTTGTGACTACAGGGTTAAGATCGCTAGAGGAAATTGCACTAGCTGCTAAAGGTACAGATTATATCGTTTAAAGTAATGCTAATTTAAGGAAAAGATCAATTATGTTTCCTTAGGTTCGCAACTACAGTCGATTTCTTCTGATAGGGAGGATGATGAGCCAATCGTTGAAGACGTGGAAGAGCCGATAGTGACACGATCCGAGGCATATCTACATCTTCAAAAGCTCAAGATATTTGTGAGGAATAACCCTAATTCCGAAATTGTTAAGGCTTTAGCAACTTTTGATAATTTTTTCTTTGATCAGGCTTTTTTTTCTCCTAAACAATCCCGTTTGACTAACTTTTTTGTTAAACTTTGATGCTTTTTGATAATTTTTTTTTACCTTTTTTGTTGAGTTTTTGCAATAAATATGTTCCAATACCTCTACATAACGTAATGGTTGCAATAAACCCTGCGTTTTTGGTTCTATATAACAAAACCTCGATATAACGTAAACCTCTATATAACGTAAACTATAGCCGGTCCCGTGAGTTACGTTGTAGAGAGGTTCGACTGTATATATATATATATATATATATATATATATATATATATATATATGCTTTATTCAGGGGCGAATAGGAAGCGAATCAGATAATCATAACCTATATAACATACTGCTAAAATACTTTCACAAAAAAAGAAAGAAAACTAAAAATAGTACAGTAAGACTACAGTTAGGAAACACGGGTATAAGAAGATTAAAGATAGAGCAGATTTGAAATGGCAATAAGATCTAATTCGTTTACAGATACTTTCAATTTTCCTACAGACGAGAAGATACCGGACGGGAGCTTATTCCAAAACTTATTCCAAAACTTATTCCAAAGCTTATTCCAAAGCTTATTCCTGTAAACTAATACGGTTCGCAAAAGAATGATAAAGGGAAAGATGATGGGGATGAGAACCGACCGAAATTTGATAAGGATCACTACGTGTACTTCTAGGAGTTTCCACAATTTTCAAGAGGCTTATGCTTCAAGAGTTGCAATTAGAAAGAGAATATATTAGAGGATATATTAGAGGATATATTAGAGAATATATTGTAAAATTATCCGATAAATATGAAATTATTTTTGATGAATAATATTTATATAAAAAGAAAGCTTAAAAGCTTGACAATAAAATGGCTTGATTTGATTTTAATGTGAATTAGAGATTCGCGTTTAAAGGCCCGTGAATTAATCAGAAAAATCACTCGCAAAAAGTGAGAAAATGGGGAAAATGGCCTTTTACAGGGCAAAATGGGAAAAATGACCACATCAAGTACATAACTTTCTTTTTTTCTAGCAAGTAAAAATCGACTTAATAACTTTTTTATGGTGATATCCAGATAGAGTAAAAAAAGTTGAGTTTTCAAAATCCTTCCACTGGAAAAAAAGTTATTAAGACAAACCGGTTTTTGATGGAAGCTGTGTGGTTATCGACATCGACTTTTACATCATATGATTAGAGGTCTTGCCGAAGAAGGAACTGATTCCCTACACAGCACATTGGCAAACAAAATAGCTAAGATGAAAGAAGAAATGCGGCTGAAAAGTGCTGTGAATTGGTTTTGCATTGATGTCCTGTCGTCTGATGCGGGAAAATTTGCCCATTTAGTGTTTATTTGTCATGTTTCTGTTGTTTGTCATTAGCTTAATTTCTATTTCGATCGGATCGGATCGGTCTTGATCGAATCCAACCCAATTCGATAACCATCTATTGTGTAGTATAATGAAAGAGGTACCTCTTCGCTAGCTCTGTAGCTCTGTTCATTCATCACCACGAGAATGAGAATGAGATTTTCAAGGGTTAAACTTTAAAGCGCATAATTCTACTCAACGATTTTCATTTCTGATTCATTTACCCAATCAGATGAGTTTACCCAATCAGATGAGTTTACCCAATCAGATGAGTTTACCCAATTTGATGAGTCACTTTATTTTACTGTGACGTGTCTCCTTCAAATGATTGCTCTTGTGAAAAATCCGCAAGAGAAAAAAAAATGGAGTAACTTGGAAAGACGAAGGAAAAAAAGAGCAAAAATAGAGGAGAAGACGTGTCGGGGTAATGGCAAATATTTAGTCGATTCTTTCTTTTTTTTCTTTTTTGCATCACTCAATCTTGGGAGGAGTTTAGTGGGGTACAAATACGATTGACCCGATCGGGAAACCATTCAGGAAAAGAAAAACGGACGATCTCACGACATTTATCCATAACAATGCTTACTATTTTGCTCTCGTTCATCGTTTCAGGTTTGCACTTGGGATTTTTCAGAATTTGTATTAGTTTTATATTTCTGTATTAGTTTTAGTTCTAAAGTTTTCTTTGCATTAACTTTTTGTGAACTTTTTTGGGTTTTTTGTTAAGTTGGGTTAACTTTTAACTTTTTAAAGTTGTTTTTAACCGGGAAATCTTGCAATTTGTGCTTGCTTCTCGAGACAAATCTTGTTTTGAGTGCGTTTTTTCTGACAATCAGTGATTAGTTCCCTAAAAAGCTTTGTAAAAGTCTCTAAAAAAACTTGAAAAACTACCGGGTGCGTCATAATTATTGCAACAAGATACCCAAGGCATTGCACTCAAGGCATTGCACACCAAGAAGTTTCACTGGAAGAAGATTTTTAAACATAAATAGCTTTATTTAACAGCAACAAATAAGGAAACAAGAGATCATTCGATATGACCGCCTTTTGCCTTGATAACAGCCCTTAATCGGTTCGGATATGCCTCCACTGCGGCCCGAATGTCATCTTGAGGAGTCGCCTTCCATCCTTTGGTCAAAGACTTCTTCAAAGAATCCAAAGTTGTGTGTTTTCGAGAGCAGACATTAGCCTCTAAGATTACCCAAATGGAAAAGTCCATCACATTGAGATCCGGTGAGTTTGGAGGCCATTCATCCTTGGTGATCACTGAGGGAAAGTTGGCCACACACCACTCCTGAACCGTCTTCTGCGTGTGAGCGGGAGGCAATTAGGCAAGAATAAAGAAGATAGAACGCAACACAACAAAAAAGGGGGCAAAGAAAATAAGAAAGCTGTTTGGAAAACGGTCTTTGAACTCTTGTTGCAATAATTATGACGCACCCTGTATTGTAATCAAGTCTGATCCGATCAGCGAAATTTTGCCATCATTGGCTACGTCCAGCCTTCCGTTGCGCATCAAATAATAGCTAAATTGGGCTATTTACGGTAGCGGTTACGGTAATTTTCCAAATTGTCCACCTTTTAGAAAAAGGTTTTACTCGCGAGAACTGATAGACTGAAAAAAAAATTTGCTAGATTTGATTTTCGATGCTGATAGAGTGATAGAAAAATTTGGCCGCATAATAAGCCGGCATACGAAGTAAAATGTTAGTTAAATATTTCGAATTTTACTTAGTACTTATAGTTAGCGTGTTCTAGACATGGTTATCGGGTCGGATCGGATCAGGGCCGATCGGATTCGATTCGATAGATCCGATCAATTGGGCTAGTTCAATAGGATCCGATAGATCCGACCAATCGAGCTAGTTCAATAGGATCCGATAGATCCGACCGATCGAGCTAGTTAAATACGATCCGATAGCTCCGATAGATCCGACCAATTGGGCTAGTTCAATAGGATCCGATAGATCCGACCAACCGGGCTAACCCGATAGATCCGACCGATCGAGCTAGTTCAATAGGATCCGATAGATCCGACCGATTGAGCTAGTTCAATAGGATCCGATAGATCCGACCAATTGGGCTAGTTCAATGGGATCCGATAGATCCGACCAATTGGGCTAGTTCGATAGGATCCGATAGATCCGACCAATTGGGCTAATTCAATAGGATCCGATAGATCCGACCGATCGGGCTAACCCGATCCGATCTTATCTGATTGTACCAAAAAAACCCTGTCTACCGTTTTCTAGATATCAACGCCTTGGTGATCGGTGGTGGTGCCTCGCCAAACACTTGCCAGCCATGCCTCGATGCACAGAGTCAATGGATGAGTTGGGGAGCATGGAGTACTTGTCAAAGGAATCCATATGGAGGTGAGAATTAGTCACTAGGTCAAGATTAGCTTTCAATTAATTATCCTTTAAAAGCTTTAGTTGATTCGCAAACGAGAACCCGGCAATGCTCGGGTTCGAATTGTCAGGGAGCCGCCGATGAGTCGAGACAGTGCCAAGTCTATCGAGAGCCGACTCCAGAATGGAATCAATGGGGATCATGGAGCAGTTGCAGGTTTGAAAAAAGATAGATAAAGATGAAGCTTGACTTCTAGCAAGTCATGCGGTGGTGGAGTTCAAGTGAGGACAAGGACGTGCAATACACAATGTGGTGTTTGCACTTGTCAAGGTCCGGCCACAGAGGAAAGGGCGTGTAACTCGCAGGTAAGCAGTGATTTGGACTTTTACTTATCTAGCTTATCTACTTATCTAGCTATATTCCATGTTTAGGCTTGTTGCTCGTGGACCCAATGGTCAGAGTGGTCAGCTTGTTCGGTGTCTTGCGGAAACGGGATTCAGACGAGAAATCGCGGCTGCAGTTGCGCTGACAACTCGGTAAGCGATTAGAACAATATAGTAACAATATAGTAACAATATAGTAGTTTAAATAGCTCTATAGTCTTCTACCTTTAGTGCCCCGGCTCATCGATTGATGTGAGCGATTGTGCGGCTCGAGTTCCATGCCCAATCTGTAACACTTGTTATCAGCCACCGCAGCCGATTGTCCCCCCGCCGCCAGTTGCATGCACTACTTGTCAACAGGTAAATGAAATCAGCTATAGTATACCGAAAACAGGCTTTACTTTACCTAAAACAGGCTGATTTCTACAAAATCAGTCTAAATACCTATCTCTAGCATTACAGACGTTAGATGAATGGAAAGAGGAATGTAAAGAGCTTAAAAGTACAGTAAAGATTCAGTTCTTGTCCATTACAGTAAGTCAGAGCAGCTAAATATCTGTTAAGCTGAATATCTGTTAAGCTGAATAGCTATTAAACTAAATATCTGCTAAATTGAAGGTAAAGAGGCTCTTTTCCTTAATCATGGTCTTTTAAAAGTTTCGTGGTTTTTTGCAATTCTTGTTTTTTTAGTCTTGTTTTAGTTTTGAAGTCTTTTGAAATTGTTTTAACGTATTAAGAATGCTCCAGTTTGCTCCAAGAATGCTTCCACATGCGCCAGTTTATTTGATCAGAATTGAAAGAACAATCTTAGGGAAGGGTCTAACAATTCTTGGTCTACTATCGGAAAGCTTGCTTCTTACACTGAAATCAGCATAGCATTGGCTGCATAAGCAAAAGATGTCTGTTCTAATCACCATTCTTCGTCGGACACTGGTGACTCTACAATGAGCCGGATGACAAACTCCGACTGCAATGAGCCGGATGAAGAGGTCAAAACGGATGCGCCACAAATCGTGACGAGCCTCGAAAACGAGACGATCAACAGCCAAGAAGAAGGCGACGCTGAGGGTCCGACTGAAGACGTTGACTCTGACGATGTTGACGGAGGCAGAGGTGTTGGCGCTGACGGACGCAGAACCCTGTCATGATTGTGCTTTGCTGAGCTGAGACGGCCAGGTAGCCGTCGAAAACAACAAAGAATTGTAAAAGACCACGAAACTTTTAAAAGACCAAGGAACTTTTAAAAGATCAGGGAACTTTTAAAAAACCACGAAACTTTCTAAAGACTACGAAACTTTTAAAAGATCACGAAACTTTTAAAAGACCACTAAACTCTCTAAAGACGACGAAACTTTCTAGGGACCACAATTCGGGGAAAGAGCCGTTAAAGATATTCAGTTTTTGACTGCTTACTATAATACTGTACGGAAATCATGAAAATTTACCAGATTTTAAGGCTTAACGATACGAAACGATACGTAAAACGAAGCAATTTTCTTTTTCGCAATTCTACATAGTATTCCTGATTGAAGAAAAGAAACATTGTCGCTTAATTTCTCATTTTGAAATTTTCAGTACCAGCCACCAACTTGTAACACTTGTGGCTACAGGACGATTCGAACAGCGATCGCTTTGGCGAAAAATTCAACCCTTCCAATTACACAAATCAAAAAGCATTAAATATTTCAAATTTATAAACAAAAAGGAAGAATTTCTGAAAAAAACAAAATCTCACAATTACACAACCCGAAAGAGTGAAAATGGTGAACATTGTGAACAAGAAAGAACAAGAAAGAAGAAGAAAGAACAAGAAAGAACAAGAAAGAACAAGAAAGAACAAGAACAACAAAGGTTTTTGGAAAATAAAAATAAAAAGATGAATCAAATCAAGTCAAGCACGAGTAACAGATTCGCAAGTAGGCTCTCGAATAGGCTTAAACAGGCTTAAACAGATTCAAGTAGACTCTCGACAGATTCTAGATTAAACAGATTCAAGATTCAAGTAGGCTCTCGACTTCAATTAGGAGAACTGAAAACTGTCGATGAAAATCCGAAAATGAACGATGAAAAGGTAGTCAAATAATTGAATTCAAGAAATAAGAGAAAGTTTTTATTGAAGTATCACAAAAAGTATTTGTATTTTTATTAGCTTTTTGATTTTCTATGGGGAAAAAAAGCTTGATTCTACTTGTTTACCACAATCTTCTGCAAACTGCAAACTTCACAATTACACAACCCGAAAGAGTGAAAATGGTGAACATTGTGAACAAGAAAGAAGAAGAAAGAAGAAGAAAGAAGAAGAAAGAAGAAGAAAGAAGAAGAAAGAAGAAGAAAGAAGAAGAAAGAAGAAGAAAGAAGAAGAAAGAAGAAGAAAGAAGAAGAAAGAAGAAGAAAGAAGAAGAAAGAACAACAAGAACAACAAAGTTTTTTGGAAAATATGCGGAATTTTTCTTTTGAAAGGAAGTATTGCAAAGAGGCACCAATACAAAAAAATATATTGAAAATTCCCTATTTTAGCACGTTGACGACGATGGCGTTTTTGCACAAACAATCGCATGGGACAACGTTGTTTTTTTTCGACAAAAAATGTCACCTGACATTAGGTGACAATTCGCCTGGGACATTGTCACCTGATGTCAGGTGACAATGTCCCAGGCGAACGAATATGTGTCAGACAGCATCAGGTGACAATGTCGTCAACGTGTTAAAAAGCTATTTTTAAAAAAACAATAACCGTAAATGTGATTTGACAAATTTTCGGTAAAATGAGCATAATGGGAAACTTGAAAAGTGTTTTAAAAGTACTGTAAAGTACTGTAAAGTATTTTAAGTACTTTAAAAGTACTTTAAGAGTACTTTAAAAGTACTGTAAAGTACTATAAAGTACTGTAAAGTACTGTAAAGTACTTTAAAAGTACTGTAAAGTCAAATTTTTGTCTGGGTTCCGGTAAATCCCAAAAAGAAAAGTTCATCATAAGGGAATATCTTTTAAATTATAAGAAGTTAAAGATTTTTTTGGTCTTGTTTAGATCTGTTTCTCTCGACTGTGCATTTTCTAAAGCTTGTCAACTTTTGAAAGCCACCAAAACCGTAATCCTGTTTGAGAAGAACACACTTTAGCTAGCAACGGAAGCCTCGCTGAGCTTGCTGAGCCGAGCAAATGCTATGCGACAGCCAGTCTTTCTATTTTAGCTCGTTTCTTTGAGGATCCACAAAGGAAAGCGAAAAATTCATAAAAATTGCTAAACTTGATATAATGGAACCAAGATATCAGTACTTTTCATAAGTTGACACATTTTAGAAAACGCATTCTTTGAGAAGAACACCCTTTAGCTAACAACGGAAGGACAAGTGGCTGAGCGAAATGCTATATTCCTATACCATTCAACGCAGAATTTGATGCTGATTCCGAATATGTATTCTGTTTTTGCTAAATGACAATCTACCCAGGCGTTATAAGCGTCTAAAGTTTTGTTAGTACTCTGAAAATGTGGTTATTTGGGTCTTAGGGGCCTGCTTGCGGTCATTTGGGTCTTCACGACCTCCTTGGAAACCAGCTTCAGTGCGGTCGTGATCGAGTGGCACAGCTTTCGTTTCCAGTGCGAGACCTCACAGGTTCGACCTAGTCAACACTTCTTGTAGACAGTTGATGGCGATTGATTATACCTTATGGATTGATTATATCTTGCCTTATAGTTTTATATTTGAAAAGCTATATACCAGATGGGATGCGATTTTGCGCGCGCACAAAGAGCACCAGTCTTCTTGAAAAAGCAAAAGAATAATCCAAGGTGGGGATCGAGAACTCGTGAGTTCTCGTTCTGGAAACGAGAGCTGTACCACTTGGCCACGGATGCAGCTGATCGGATCCGCATGGAGGCTGCTAAGACCCATGGAGGCCGCCAAATGACCACATTTTCAGAGTCCTAACAAAACTTTAGACGCTTATAACTTCTCACAGATTGTCATTTAGCAAAAACGGAATACAGATTCGGGACCAGCATCAAATTCTGCGTCGAATGGTGTAGGTCGTATCGCATTTCGCGCAGCCAGTTGTCCTGCCCTTGTTATTCAGGTCAAGGGTTCAATCCCTGCTAGATTCTCAGCCAATCAAGACTGTCTGGCGTACTGGTTGGCGTACTGTAGTGAGACGGAGCCCTAGAACCTAGTAGTACCTTAAACGCATGAAATCTGGTGCACTGAAGATTTGAACTATTGCAAGAAAAAGTCCACCAAATCCCTTGCGTTTAACTTGATTTTTAAATAATTTTTATGAATAAGGCTAGAAGCAAAGTCTTTTCGGAAATCGATATCCAGTCAAGTTTAAAGTAAATTTTTAAATTCACAACTCAGTGACTCAGTCACAACTCAGTGAACTTTGGCAAATATTGAGGCAGTGATTTGGCTAAAGCTTTGCTCGCATCGATGAGCGCTCCGTGCACCCGTTTGACAAGGATTTCGTGTTTCTCCTCTTCCACCGACAGCCCATCCATTGTGTCCATCACGCGGCCGATGAACGCGAAATGGGAACCCTGAGCGACCAAGTGGATGCGATAGGCTTTGTCGAGCTGAAAATGGAACTGTTGGAGTTGGAGTGTATCAGAGTTGTTTTCATCTGTAAGCTGTAGGATCTGTAAGCTAGGATCTGTAAGCTAGGATCTGTAACGTAGGATCTGTAACCTAGGATCTGTAAGCTAGGATCTGTAAGCTAGGATCTGTAACGTAGGATCTGTAAGCTAGGATCTGTAACCTAGGATCTGTAAGCTAGGATCTGTAAGCTAGGATCTGTAAGCTAGGATCTGTAACGTAGGATCTGTAACCTAGGATCTGTAAGCTAGGATCTGTAAGCTAGGATCTGTAAGCTAGGATCTGTAGGCTAGGATCTGTAGGCTAGGATCTGTAGGCTAGGATCTGTAGGCTAGGATCTGTAACCTAGGATCTGTAACCTAGGATCTGTAAGCCAGATCGAATCAGGTCAGCCAAAAGCCAACGCCCTTTGACTTTGGCTTTTGGCTGGCCAGGCACAAGCTTTCCAAAAGCCAGGCAGGCTAAGTCAGGCTTCTGGTTAAATTAACAATTAAATTGTATTTGGAACAACTTTGGCTAGTTCAGTAACGTCATACTATTAAATATTTTAACAAACTCGCGACGACGGTATTAAGAGTGCACTTTTTTACTAATAATTTTGTGAAATTCAAGAATAAACTAAACTATTATCATCATTTGATGATAATAGTTTAGTTCTGGGCCCAGATAGCTCAAAAGAGGCCCAGCTAACTCAAAAGAGGCCCAGCTAGCTCAAAAGAGGCCCAGCTAGCTCAAAAGAGGCCCAGCTAGCTCTGGGCCTCTTTTTTTGAAAGCTAATACAAGTAGCCAAGAACTTTCTGCAAAATCAATAACAAAAATCCTTAAAAGGTTGAGTTTACACCAAAAGCTTGGCATTAGTACAGCGAATATCGTCATTAGTACAGCGAATATCGCCCGGAATGTGTTAAGTGTTGAAAAGCTTTAGAAATAATGGGATTTACTTCTAGGAAATGGAATTGTAAGTTAAATACGGGTGATACAGTTGTGGTGACGTTATCTGTTATCCCACAGTTATGGTGACGCACAGCTGACTACGTTTAACTGCTTTCTGTCTCTTTTTTTTTTCTTTTCTTATTAATTTGATGATTTGATTGTTTTTTAGGTATAAAGGCTAAGAAAGAGCTGCGTTATTATTCTTCAACAGCAAGGAAAAACATCCGGAAAATTCTTCAACAGCAAGGAAAAACACTCGCAGAGATCTCGAATCTTGCAGGAAAGAGATAAAATGTTTTTCGTGCTCTGAAGCATTTCAAAGAAACGGGCTTCAATGAAAATCGTAAAGAATTAGGTTCACCAAAGACTCCAATTCAAAAAGTCGATCGACTTTGATCGACTGAAAAGAAACCCTCATATTGAGCAGGCTCACAACCATCAGAACGATCGAAACCATCAGAACGATCGAAACCATCAGAACGATTGGCCCAAAAAGCCTCTCCCGTTAGACGACAGAATTGTTTCAAGACAACAAAAGCCTTAACAAATCATGATTTGCGCCGGTGTCACTCATTCAAACAGCCTGCAAAAGAAACGGGTTTAAATGAAGATCGTAAAGGACGAGGTTCACCAAAGAACGCCAACAATTCAACAATTCAACAAGTCGTCAAAAGATTTTTGATCGACGTAAAAGGAATCCCAAACTCCTCAAAGAATTCTGTTGGCCAAGTCCAAGTCTGTGCCAAGTCTGTTTGGCTGTCTGGCCAAGTCTGTTTGGCTTAGGCCAAGTATTGGAAAAAGTTCGGCTCATCGAATTCTCAAAACAACCAAAATGAAAGCCAGAAAAGGGATAAAAGGACATCTTTGACAGATTGAATGTAAAGAACACGTTTGAAACGTCGCAAATAAGATCGATAGACTTTTGTTGATATTTTGTCACCATATTGTAGAACTGTAAATGGGAGTAAATAATGGGGATTTACTGCGCATCGGTGCCGCAATTTAAAAACTAGCTTTTCAAAAAGCAAATGGAAACAATGATTGGGAAGGAATGTGCTTAAATGCGCTAAATTTGCGCTAATTTTCTTTTCTCGCTAACCTTCTTAAACTCGTTATCTCTCAATTCATAATATTTGTTCAATAAATAATAAATCCTTTGCTATCCACTTTCCTCTTTTCCCTCCATTCCCCCATCGTTTGTTCAGTGAGTGCTCTCGGCTTTCCCAAATTGCTCAAAATGCAAGGGATTGCTCAATCCCTTGCATTTCGTTTGGCTTTTTTGCATTATTTGTTTTGATTTCTAATCGAATTCGATCATCAAAACAGTCTATTGCATTTAAAATGATGAAATTGAGCGATTTCAAAGCACTTTGAGCAAAAGCACTTTGAGATTAGCACGTTGTTTTTGAGAAAATTGAACAGGAAAGAGATGGAAGCAGGAAAAAGCTAAAAAAGAGAACAAGAGAACAAGAAACAAACAAACAAACAAACAACTACAATGCTTGGGTATTCAAGTTTGGTTTTTTAAACTTAAACTCTAACTGAAGAACTGGCTTTTTCTTTTCTCAGCGCTTTTTCTTTTCTCGTAGCTTTTTCTCAGGCGCAATTTGATTGGTTTAAAGTTTTGAGGAAAATCTAGTTAGAATCAGCTCACTATAAGTGCAGTTAGTCAGGGTTTAACCAGTTATCAACTAAACAAACCTGTTCAAATGAGTACGGTACGTCGATGCCAACTTTTGCACTCCCTTTCAACGATCATTTCGTGGAGAATCGGTAGAAATTTTGCTTCAGCAACTCGTCGCTCTTCTGCATCACATCCAAAAACAAACAAATGACAAAGATCCTCTGCACAACTGCCTGAAATTTCGTTTTAATACTTCATCTTCAGCTACTTCATCTTCAGCTACTTCAGCTTCAGCTACTTCATCTTCAGCTACTTCATCTTCAGCTACTTCATCTTAAGCTACTTCATCTTAAGCTACTTCATCTTCAGCTACTTCATCTTCAGCTACTTCATCTTCAGCTACTTCATCTTCAGCTACTTCAGCTTCAGCTACTTCATCTTCAGCTACTTCATCTTCAGCTACTTCAGCTTCAGCTACTTCATCTTCAGCTACTTCATCTTCAGCTACTTCATCTTCAGCTACTTCATCCGTAGTACATTATCTTTTTATTTCAATACTTCAACACTTGTTAGAACGTCAAGGCTTTACGAATCGCCGAAAATCAAAATCAGTATTCAGTATTCGAAAATCACCGTGATGCACATTTTGCCAGTCTAAAAGTGCACTCAATGAGTCGTCTCCATTTTGAGTTTTCACTTTGTTCCACAAAAAATTGTACGCCCACATGTCACCATGACAGATCACATCGGGAATGCCTGAAATATGCAAAAGAGACTTTTGAATAAGGTAAAAAAGAAATGGTAAATGGTAAAAAAGAAATTGAGCTTTGATTCCCAAGAGCTTAAGCTTTGATTCCCAAGAGCTTAAGCTTTGATTCCCAAGAAATTGAGCTTTGATTCCCAAGAGCTTAAGCTTTGATTCCCAAGAAATTGAGCTTAAGCTTTGATTCCCAAGGGTTTCCCTTAATGAACTGGAGTCAATTTGTGCATGTGCCTTTGAAATTTTCTAAACTAACCCAGATCTTTATGTGATTCTCTGAAGACATAATGCCAGAAGTGTCGATTCTTGTACAAGTGTTGAATCTTCTCGAATTCGGGACCAATCTTTGGTTCAAGAGTCGTCCACGTGCTGGCTGGTTCTTGCATTTTGTAGAAAAACTCCATATATCTAAAAAGTTAAAGGAGTTGATGGTTAAAGTTGATGGTTAAAGTTGATGGTTAAAGTTGATGGTTAAAGTTGATGGCTTAAGTGCTTTATTGGTTGTTTATTGGTTGTTTATTGGTTGTTTATTGGTGGTTTATTGGTTGTTTATTGTGTTTATTGTTTGTTTATTGGTTGTTTATTGGTTGTTTATTGGTGGTTTATTGGTTGTTTATTGGTGGTTTATTGGTTGTTTATTGTGTTTATTGTTTGTTTATTGGTTGTTTATTGGTTGTTTATTGGTGGTTTATTGGTTGTTTATTGGTGGTTTATTGGTTGTTTATTGTGTTTATTGTTTGTTTATTGGTTGTTTATTGGTTGTTTATTGGTGGTTTATTGGTTGTTTATTGGTTGTTTATTGTGTTTATTGTGTTTATTGTTTGTTTATTGGTTGTTTATTATTTGTTTCTTGTTTGTTTATTGTTTATTTCTTCTTTTAGTGACTTTCTTTGTTCACTTACCCATCCGGCAATCGAATATACGGCGTAAAGGAGTTTATGGTTAAAGTTGATGGCTTAAGTGCTTTGTTGTTTGTTTATTGTTTGTTTATTGTTTGTTTATTGGTTGTTTATTGTTTGTTTATCCTTTGTTTATTGTTTATTTCTTGTTTATTTCTTGTTTATTTCTTGTTTATTTCTTCTTTTAGTGACTTTCTTTGTTCACTTACCCATCCGACAATCGAATGTACGGCGTTTTCGAGCGCAAACCGTGCACTTGAATCCACGCGATTTGCGACAAAATCTCGAGGAGCTGGAAATGTTTTAGCTCATTTTCGAGAGTAAATTCTATCTGCAATTAACATAAATTTTATCGTAAACCAACTTGCGAAGGATTGAGTCCATTGTAGATATTGCTGGGTTCAGCTTGCGCGGAGAGATCTCTCATGATCACCGAGCCGCACGAGCTCGCATCTCCGTATCTCCATGGCTCAGTGGCATAGGCAGTAGCTTTCTAAATCATATTTTTTATTAAATAATCAATAATTAATAATAAATACTAGAATTTAAAGTCTGTTATCTTGTATTTGAATAATTTTATTTCAAAAAATTTCATGTTAAGAGTTGGAAACAAGGAAACAGAAACCTATTATTGGGTTGTCCAGTTATGAATTCGCGTTTTTTACTATTTTGTAAATTTCTCAAGATACCGAAATCAAGAAAAAGATTTATATGAGTATTATTCGAAAGCTGAAGATCTCCTCTACATTTGGAATAAAAAAGTTTTTGAATTTGTTCAGCTTTTGGGCAAATTGACTGCACAGAAGAAGAGGCGGCCAAAAAATGAAAAGGTGTCTTTGGATCAAGTTTTGGCTCTGCTCAAATTGAGTTAACCGTTTGATTTTTGACCAATAGATATATCAATACAACTTTTTTTTAAATATAACAATTTCAGAGCATCTTTACTTTTCTTTTCTTTTCTGGGCGGTTATTTTACACCATAAAACTTGAGGAATAGCTAAGCTGAAATGGGTTTTTTTTTCGAAAACGACCTCTCCCTTTGTGCAGTCAATTTCCCAAAAAGTTGAATGAATTCAAAAACTTTTTGATTCCAAAATGTAGAGGAGATCTTTATCTTTATCTAGCTTTATAGCTTTATAATCCAATAGACTTTCAAATTGTCAAAATGATCTTGGTGCAAAAGAAACTGCCGATGGGTATCAGCTCTCATTTATCATTAAAGCTTTCACAAAAGCCAGTTGAAAATCAATAAAATAAATAAGGAGATCTTCAGCTTTCGAATGATATCTAACACTCATATACATCTGTTCGATATCTTGAGAAATTCACAAAATAGTAGAAATGCGCATTCATAACTGGACAACCCAATATTTACGAATTTACCAGGCCTATTGTCTACATTCGCACTAGAACTATTCAAAAACAAACTCCACGCCCTAAAAAAACCTAAATCCTCAAATAAAACTATCCATTACTACACTTTTAAGAAAATTTTGCACATTTTTTTTGCGCGGCCTTTATAGCTTTGCTTAAAAAGCGCACCTTTTAGAAAACGCGTTGTCGAAAGTTTGTCGGATCAACTGTCTGACAAAAATGTTGTCAAGGCAACAAGGCAAACTTGTCTGACATCTGATCAATTGTCTGTCAACAAGGAGCACACTCTACTCCAGAAACCTATTAGATTGATGCAATTTTGCCAAATTTTTCTTTCCATAGAAAAGAATTTGTAACAAAATTTGTTGTATTTAAATTATTAACAGTTTTACAATCATTTCTTTATCATTTCTCTATAATTTCTCTACAAAATAGCTTTTGCTCAAGGCTCAAAGCTCGACTCAATTCGATAAAAACGACTTGATTATATAAAATTTTCAATTATTGTTTTAAAGAAAATCGCTAAACGGATCGTTTTCAAATTTTACAGATTTATGTAATCAAATGAGCTCTATCTTTTTGTCTTTTACACTAAAATAGGTTTGTTTTGAAGAAAGTGTCCAAATTGGCATCGGAGCTTCAGCATCGGAGCAGTTTTGGGTGCTAGCCTTTGCGCATTTGAGAATCCACAAAATCAACTACTTCCAAGAATTTCCGAAAAGCCATTTTGTTTGTTTGTAGTTTGTATTGAAGAAAGTGTCCAAATTGCGATCGGAGTCGGCATCGAAGCAGTTTTGGGTGCTCTATTACTTATTGGCCAACCCAATAGAAGCTGCACTGACTGATAAAGCTCCCGATGAAGCTTTCTCAGTCACTTGAGCGACAAAAAGTTACACCAAAAAGTTACACGACTTTAGTGTCGGCGTTAGTGTCGGCGGTTTTGGGCAAATTGTGCCGTTTTGGGTTTTCGTCTTTACGCGTTTAAAAATCCACAAAAACAACTATTTTGAAGAATGTCCAAAAAGCTATTTGACAGAGAAACAATGAAGCTTTTTAATAGTTCAAATAGAAATTTTGTTATTATTTTATTATTTATTATTTTTAAAAGAAGTTTGGAAAAGATTTGGGAAGTTTGGAAATGTTTAAAAGCTTGCGCCATGTTTGGTTCTAAAGTTCTAAAGTTCTAAAGGTTCTAAAGTCTTTTAGCATTAATTGTATAGCTATTTTGTTTATTGTATGATGTAGTTTACTGATTGATTATTCGATTTTCATAAAACTATATTATTTCTGATTAAAAACGTATCTATTGGATTGGTGAATTGAAAATTACGGGCTATTGTCATATGTGACAGTTTGAGCACTCCCTTCAAAAGAAACCCATTTTGGTGTCAATGGAAAAGTTGTAGAGAATCAAAAATCAAGCTTATATCCAAATTTTCAGAACGATTCAAAAACTGGTTTTCAAGAAATGAGAGATTTACGAATTTTCACAAAAATTGCAACAAACCTTGCAACAAAACTTGCATTTTAAGCGAAACTACTAGGTGTATCTTTTTGGAAATTTGGCTATAAGCCTAATTTTTGATTCTCTACAACTTTTCTATTGACACCAAAATGGGTTTCTTTTGAAGAAACTGCCCAAACTGGGATCTCCAGTCTCCATCTTCAGTCCTCCATTTTTGAGTCTCACACTTGTCTCACACACAAACCAAAATCCTACTACGAAAGAGGAATCCGCAAATTGCCTGTAAAATGGGCAGAAGTCGTCAATAATAATGGAAATTATTTCGAATGAATTCATGGTTTTATGTTGAATAAATTTTAGTTCAAAGTCCCGCAGTTTTCAATTCACCAACCCAATAGATGAACTTATTAGGCAAAATAGAAATCCCGCATAGGTAAACTTAAATATTCTTGGATTCAATTCACCAACCCAATATATTATTTCTGATTAGAAACATATCTAAATCGTACCTTTACATCCGGCCAATCAGTGAGCGTTTCATAAAAGCACATTCTCGATTGAAGTACTCGGCGATGAATCGATAAAGTTGATCACTCTAAAAAAAAGTTAACGATAAACGTTAAACGTTAAACATTAAACATTAAACGTTAAAAATTTAAAGTTAAACTCAAAGTTGAACTTGAGAATTATTCAATATTATTGAATTATTGAATTATTGAATTATTGAGGATTTTAAGATCATTTTATAGTATTTAATTCATATCTAATTCATTGAATAGCTTCATTTTTCCGCACTTTTCTCACAAACCCCATTTTCCCGCATGAAATTTCGCTCTTTCTCGCCGCAAATCAATACCATCGAATGGGTGATCGTGTGGAGTTCGGGAATCTAGAAATTTTGCTTTAATTTCAGCGAATTTGAGAGAATTTGAGAGAATTTAAGAGGATTTAAGAGAATTTCAGAGAATTTAAGCGAATTTGAGAGAATTTAAGAGGATTTAAGAGAATTTAAGAGAATTTCAGAGAATTTCAGAGAATTTCAGAGAATTTGAGAGAATTTTGCTTTAATTTAAGAGAATTTAATAGAATTTAGTTTAAGTTTGATAAAATTAGACTAAATTTAGTGTTTTCTCTCTCATTTCTCCCTTCATTTCGACTTTTCTCCGTACGAATCATCATCAACTAGGTCATTAAATACACAAAAATCTACAGAATCCTATTTTGTAGACGTTGTGTCTATCAATTTCTAAACTTATCCACCGAAATCTCATTTTGTACACTTTTCAGAGAAGAAATACCTTTATAAGCGATCAGTTTACTACAAAATGTTAACAATAATGAGCAGAATGAGCAGAAAGAGCAGAATGAAATGAGTAAAATGAAATTTGAAAAATTGAATGAGATTTTTGTCTAAAAACTTGGCTTTATTGGCTTTTATTGGCTACTTGGCTTGGCTTTATACCCACAAAAATATTGTAACTCAAAACTCGATGTGCCTAAAGCTATTCACCTATTCAACTAGGTCATCAAATACACAAAAATCTACAGAATCCTATTTTGTAGACATTTTGTCTACCAATTTCTAATCATAAAGTAAAATATTACTTTTACAATGATTGGTATCCTTGAACCATCATCGAAAGCGACGAGAATCCGGGAGATTTGAGAGATGAAACCCATCGATTTGCTCGTTGTATCGTTTGGGAGTAACTAAAGAAGTGATTTGAAACTGATATTTGTCCTTTAAACCTTTCTTTCTTCTTCCCTTCTTTCCTTCTTCCCTTCTTCCTTGCCTTTCCTATTTCTTTTTGGGGAAAGCTGATAGCTTAGTGGTAGAGCTGCCCGGTAAGCAGAAGGTCGAGGGTTCAATTCCCTCTCAAGTTTTTTGCCATTCACTTCTTTTCTTAAGTACTTTAATGAAGATTTACGAGTCAAATAGGAGTCTAAATAAGAGGCACAGATGAAGAATTCTAGTATTTTACAAGGTAAACCCAGCAAGGCCAGAAGCAAGCCCAGAAGCAAGCCCAGAAGCAAGACCAGTAGCAAGGCCAGAAGCAAGACCAGAAGCAAGACCAGAAGCAAGGCCAGAAGCAAGGCCAGAAGCAAGGCCTTATAAAGGTTAAAATCGAGATCTTCGTCCTTTTCAAGCTTAAATTTCAAAGAAATTTCAGGAAATTTAATTCCATTTTAAAGAAAAACTGTTTGCTTGAAGCTTATTTTTGTTTATTTACCATTATAAAGCTGTTAGAAGATGATTATAACAAAAAAATGCTTTGATTGATACTTTGAATACTTAGTGGTAGAGTTGCCCGGTAAACAGAAGATCGAGGGTTCAATTCCCCCTCAAGCCCTCGCAAACTAAGCCGAGAAGAAAAGTCGAATTATCGAATAAGAAGAAGATTCCTACTTTTGCATAAAAGTTCATTTTTAGAAAAAACTACAAGACGGAAACTGTTATTTTTGAAAAAAAAGCATTCTTTTAATCTAGAAAACGCAAATGCCAGTGATTTTTAACAGAGAACGCATTTTCACTGACTTGGCTTTACCACAAAAGTTTCTGATCCATTTCTGATTCAGGATTGACTAGTCCTGAGTCTGGCTTCTTGCCTTCTAGTTTGGCTTGGCACAACGTCCAGTAGTCAGTCCTGAATCTGGCTTCTTGCCTTCTAGTTTGGCTTGGCTTCGCACAATGTCCAGTAGTCAGTCCTGAATCTGGCTTCTCGCCTTCTAGCTTGGCTTGACTTGGCACAACGTCCAATAGTCAGCCCTGAACCTGACTTCTTGCCTTCTAGTTTGGCTTGGCTTGGCACAACGTCCAGTAGTCAGTCCGGAACCTGGTTTCTGGCCTTCTAGTTTGGCTTGACTTGGCACAATGTCCAGTAGTCAGTCCTGAATCTGGCTTTTTGGCTTCTAGTTTGGCTTGACTTGGCACAACTCCCAGTAGTCAGTCCTGAACCTGGCTTCTTGCCTGAACCTTGTCCTGGTCCTGGCCTAGTTTGGCTTAAAACTCTCGAGCCTGCTTTGAATATCCGTATTAACTGTGAGAATTTTACCGTGTTAGCTGTAGAGAGATTTTCTTAGGCTATAAATTATATAAATATTGATTTTTACTTGTTTAATCGTCCTTCCTGAATGTAACTTTTGAAAGAGTTGAGACGAGTTCAACAGCTGGAGAATCCTCGAGAACTCAAGGCTCACCCCATTGTCGCCAATTCGATCCATCACATGTTCAAGAAGATGTTAAAGTTGAAAGATCTAACAAAATCCAGTTTTTAAAACGGAAATCAATTGAATAATTGTTCTGAAATTAAAAAAAAGAAAAGAAAAGTCAAAGAAACAATTGTTTGTTTTGAGATTGCAAAAAAAGCGATTAAAAATCGTCCTTGAAAGTTTGGATTGAAAAAAAAAACGCTCCAATCACTTTTTACAATGATCACAATGATCAAAACTGTCTGAAAATAGCTCTAATCAAAGCAATTAATATTTGTAAAAACGAAGCCTGCAATTTGACTCAATGAAACATTGAAGAACTCAGTTGGTGCGGTTTGTGAATCTAATAAATGACACCGAAGTGCACACGTCCAGAATTACTAGAAGTATCCGAAGTCCAGAATTACTAGAAGTATCCAAAATGCTAATTTCGCGAGGATTTTAACTGTTATAATGAGCCGTTCACAGTCTACCCGTAAAAGGGCTGAACTAAGAGATGCATGGCTTAGTCTTTAACATGAGCATATCGTCACTGGCAGGATCAACCAGATATGAAAACAAGTTGCGATCTCTCAGAGAGAAGCTGTGTTTGCATTATCGAGCATGAATGTACCTTGCTTGCTTGAAACGTATCCTTTCTAGGGCACTCAATTTCATATATAGCCATATTTCTAGAAGATAATGAAGAATTCAGAAAATCACTAATCTAAAAATAGATATTTCTAATTAAAAACTTTTCAATTTCAGATCTTTTCTCTAAATTTTTGTTTTGAAAAAGCAAAAATCGATTGAAATTTTGCGAGCGAGTCATTTTGGAGTCTCGTTAATGAATTTTGAAAGTTTAACTTAAAAAAAGAGAAAAGAAAAAAAGAAAATGAAGAGCGATTCGAATGAAATGACACGTGAAATCTATAAAAGTAATGAGAATTTATGGGGAGGCCAAAGCTTTTTATAAACCGGTAAATGGATGGGAAAAGGGGGAGGCCCGTGTCTATGTGGATAAGCCAGAAAAGGGAAAGTGAAGAGGTAGAGGTGGAGAAGAGGAGAAGAGGAGAAAGAGAAGTTCAGAGATGATTTGGAAAGGGGAAAGTGGATGGAGGAGTAGCGTTGGGATGAGAGAAAAGGAGAAAGAGCGTTGAGAGATCGTTTGGAAAAGGGAAAGGCGAATGAAGGATAGAAATAGAAATAGAAAAAGCGAGAAATAGAAAAAGCGAGAAATAGAAAAAATAGAAATAGAAATAGAAAAAGATTGGTTGAATTGGATGGGGAAAGGCGTAGAGGAGTGGCTAACTGCGAGAAAAAAGAAAGAGAAGTCAATTGGAAGCGAGAAGAATAGAAATGATGGGAAGTGAGAAGAGAAGAAAGAGAAAGAAAGAGAAAGAAAGAGGAATAGAGAAAGAGAAAGAAAGAAAGAAAGAAAAAGTCTCGAAAGGGATGGGATGAGATGGAAAGGATGAGAATGTGCAAAAAACAATGGAAATAAAAGAGATCTAGGAAAGATGATGAGGAAAAAGAGTGAAGGAATTGGAAAAGAGAACTGGAAAAGTGGATAGGAATGAGGTAAAAGAAATGAGTGAGGATGTGAGAGGAAAAAAATGGGGGGAAAGGGGCACATTATAGAGATCCACAATCCAAAGAAATGCTAGGTTTGTGAGAGTTTTCGGGAAATAGGGAATTGAAGCACAGAGATATCAAAAGAAGAATGGGAAAAGATTTGTTATAGAAGAAAACTGAGATAGAGTCACTTTTCAAGAGCTAGAAACGAGTAAACGGCCGAGATGAGATACAAAAACAGTCACAAAAAGAACACTTTCCAAAAATCTGACAAAAGAAGGTCACAAGGCTGAGGTGGCCGAATTAGAGAACAAGCTAGAAGACAAGTTAGAGGTCAAGCTAGAGAACAAGCTAGAGGACAAGCTAGAGGACAAGCTAGAGGACAAGTTAGAGGTCAAGCTAGAGGTCAAGCTAGAGGACAAGCTAGAGAACAAGCTAGAGGTCAAGCTAGAGGTCAAATTAGAGGTCAAAAATCAGTCCCAGATCAAAATATAAGGCTTCTTTCAGGGCCGTGGAATTTGTGCTTGTGGTTTAGTGGATAAGAGCCTTTTTCCGAAACAAGGTATCGATTCTTTGCTCGGGTTCGATCCCTTCCTTTTGTTTTCATTTTTATTTTGATGTTTCATGAGATCTGAGTGCTCAAATATTATCGATATTCACAATTATCGATGTTCAATCGATGATTAAACGAATATTACTCAAGATTATAAATTACTAAACAATGCGAGCTTTTTATTTTCTTGGAAATATGTCATTGTGTTCGCTGAATGAATCTGAATGCACTATGACATTTTTTGTGTCAATTATGCCTCATTTGGAATCGATAAACACGTTGATATCCCCATCAACATCATCGACTTTGTGAAGAGGAAAGTATGATTTTAAAACTTGTACAAGATGTAATGTTAAAGCAGTTGCAAAACAGCTGTTTTAACTGTTTTGCAGCAAAAGCAGCTGTTTTTGTGTGTTAATTTCTTTTGTTATTTTGTTTATGATCAATTAAAAGATTTCATAATACATTGTAAAGTTAAAATAGAGTGAATTCAAGCGGCTAAATATGAAAACAAATAAATTACTGAAAAATGAAATGAAATGAAAAGCAAATCAAATGAAAACAAAAGGAAGGGATCGAACGCGAGCAAAGAATCGATACCTCGTTTCGGAAACAAGACTCTTATCCACTAAACTACAAGCTCATTTCGTGACCGTGAAAGAAGCCTTAATAGAGACTGATTTTTGACCTCTAATTCGACCTCAAACTTCTTTATTTGCTTGCCAGAATCCTTGCGTTTCGACTCATTTTGCAAAAACGAATAGCAGTATCGAAAACAGCGTATAATTCTGCTAAATGGCTCATGTCATTTGGCCACCTCAGCTTTGTCATTTGGCCACCTCAACTTTGTCATTTGGCCACCTCGGCTTTGTCATTTGGCCACCTCGGCTTTGTCATTTGGCCACCTCAGCTTTGTCATTTGGCCACCTCAGCTTTGTCATTTGGCCACCTCAGCTTTGTCATTTGGCCACCTCAGCTTTGTCATTTGGCCACCTCAGCTTTGTCATTTGGCCACCTCAGCTTTGTCATTTGGCCACCTCAGCTTTGTCATTTGGCCACCTCAGCTTTGTCATTTGGCCACCTCAGCTTTGTCATTTGGCCACCTCAGCTTTTTAATCTTCCCTTGTGAGAATTAGAGAAAAAAGATTCTAAAAATATCATGAATTTCAAGAAAAAGAGGCAAAAGCTTTCTGTGTATTTAGCGGAAAAGGGAACAGTATTCATGTCATTTTTTGCGGGATTTCTGCAAAAAAAAATGAAAGTGGAAGTGAAAAACGGAGGACGAATTGAAAGAGCAAAAGTCAGAAGAAGAGGAATTTTTATGTGGACAAATATTTGTTTGGAAAATCCAGTCAAATGGATTACTTCTTTTCAGCTAGATAAGCAAGCTAACAATTCAAACGTGCAACTATTGTTGTCTTATTCGGAAAATTGGGAGTCTGTTGGTTTTTAGAAGATTTTAATGGATTAAAAGTATGCCTTCATTGCTTTTCAATTTTCTAAACAATCAAATCATAACTTTCTCTGCAATTTTTTTTTGCCAATAACAATTAAATATTAGTCTGTTATGCACTAAAGCCCAAGCCAAAGCCAAATTTGATTCAAAAAGTTTCACAAATTTATAGCTCAAAATCGTCTTGTTACCATCAAAAAAGCAAGAGAGATCCCAGAAAGAAAAAGAAATTTGATTTCATAAAGTCGCAATGACAACGCAACGACAACGACAACGACAACAACGGCGCAACGTCAACGCCAACGACAACGCAACGCAACGACAACGCAACAAAACGACAACAACAACGACAACGACAACGACAACGCAACGCAACGACTACGACAACGACAATGACAACGACAACGCAACGCAACAACAACGCAACAAAACGACAACGACAACGACAATGACAACGACAACGCAACGCAACAACAACGCAACAAAACAACAACGCAACAAAACGACAACGACAACGACAACAACGACGCAACGTCAACGACAACGACAACGCAACGCAACGACAACGCAACAAAACGACAACAACGACACAACGACAACGACAACGACAACGCAACGCAACGACAACGACAACGATAATGACAACGACAACGCAACGCAACAACAACGCAACAAAACGACAACGACAACGACAACGACAACAACAACGCAACGCAACGCAACAACAACGCAACAAAACGACAACGACAACGACAATGACAACGACAACGCAACGCAACAACAACGCAACAAAACAACAACGCAACAAAACGACAACGACAACGACAACAACGACGCAACGTCAACGACAACGACAACGCAACGCAACAACAACGCAACAAAACGACAACGACAACGACAATGACAACGACAACGCAACGCAACAACAACGCAACAAAACGACAACGACAACGACAACGACAACAACAACGCAACGCAACGCAACGACAACGACAACAACGACACAACGACAACGACAACAAAACGACAACAACGACGCAACGAAACGACAACGACAACGCAACAAAACGACTACGATAACGCAACGCAACAACAACGCAACAAAACGACAACGACAACGACAACGACAACGCAACGCAATGACAACGACAACAACGACGCAACGACAATGAATGATTTGCAATAGAGTTAAAATTTAAACTGAATCCTATTTTCTATAAAATTTGAAATGAATTCTGTTTATGAAATCAGTTGAAAACCTGTAGAAAAGTTAGAGAAAAAAGCACTAATTCCCAGTGTACTTTGTGTGCGGGGATGAGTGTGGGGATTTGCTCGATTTGCTGCCTAAATTAGTGGTGACTTTTCAAAATGATTTCTGAGTAATGAGAAAGGTTTTGAGTTCTTGGAAAAGAATGATGTTAAATGGAATGAAACTTCAATTATCAATTTAGTATCGAGATCAGTAAATTGACCTAAAAAAAAGCATTTTACTGGGTACAATCTGCAATATTTCTACTGATGTTTGATGCAAAAAAGAGTGGAATATGTGAATCTATTAGTTTCTTGAAATTCTTGTTCTTTTCTTGAAATTTTCTTTGTTAGTAGTAATTTAGTAGCAATGTTTAGTTGTTTAGTTTAGTAATTTAGTAGTTGTTAGTTTACGGGAGTTGAAACATTGAAAAAAACATTAAAAAACAAAATCAAAAACAAATTCTTTAAAATAAACATATATAAAGGATAAAAATAGTCGAATTTTTAAAATTTGAGTTTTATTTTGCTCTATTTCGACGGATTTTATTATAAAAACACGTCTATTAATGTGAAAAGAACTATCTAGTAAAGAACTTTCTAGTAAAGAACTTTCTAGTAAAGAACTTTCTAGTAAAGAACTTTCTAGTAAAGAACTTTCTAGTAAAGAACTATCTAGTAAAGAACTCTCTAGTAAAGAACTTTCTAGTAAAGAACTATCTAGTAAAGAACTCTCTAGTAAAGAACTTTCTAGTAAAGAACTTTCTAGTAAAGAACTATCTAGTAAAGAACTATCTAGTAAAGAACTTTCCAACTATGCTAATAAATATTTTCAAATTAAACAAATTCAGTAAGTATTTCCTTCTTTGAAAAGATTTCAGTTCTCTGTGTTCTGATTTTTAAAGACGGAAGGACGGAGGCATTTGAGAACAGGTGTTAAACTGCATCCGAATGTAGAATATACCGTATTTTCTCTAATAGTAGTGCACCCTGCGCGTTGCCTAAATTGCTCGAAATCTCGAAAAGCGTTTATCAGAACCTATCGATGTGGGGTCGGAAAATGTAGCTGACGATGAGATCTTGTGGGGGATTTGAGTGTTGAGCTTCTGCAAAAGCTTGGGAACTGTAAAATAGGCATCAACTCGGCTCGGCACTACTATTAGAGAAAATACGGTAACCAGCTTTTTCTTGCTGACGTCTTTCTGTGCAATAGACTCAAGAATAGACTAGCTTTTTTAAAATTAACAAAGCAATCAAATATTTATTCGGATCGAACTTTAGACGTTGAAAACGGTGGCTGGTGGAGGGGATTTTTCGGTGAAACGGCAAGGCACCGAGGCTCGTGCATCGTTCGCCGTTGTGATCTTGAAATTGAGGACAAATCTACGCACAAGGCTACAATAAAGCTATTATTAGCAACTTATTATTAGCAATAAAATCCATTCTGACAAGTATAAGCTATCTGCTTTGGATCAGACAAAGACAAATATCAGTATTTAACACATTCACAATGAGATTTTTTGATTTTTGCATAGTTATTTCCCTTTCAGCTCGTCTAAAAACGTTCACAGGCAACCGATTTACTTAAATTAGGGCTCAAAATGAAAAGAAATGTTTACGGATCATTTATCTAAAAAGAAATTAAAGAAATATTGAGTTTGAAGAAAGTTCAGAATGCTTTAGTATGAGAAATTTCTCGGATCACCGTAGATCCGGGAACTATTTTGCATTCAATGGCTCATAACTCCCTTTAAAGTCACTATTTTTTAAACAGTTTTCAGATAAATGATCTTCAAACATTTCTCTTCATTTTGAGCCCTAATTTAAGTAAATCGGATGACTGTGGACGTTTCTAGACGAGCTGGAAGGGGCATAACTTACGCAAAAATCAAAAAAATCAAAAAAAGCTCATCGTGAATGTGTTAAACAATGATTCCAAGAGAAAAACAGAAACAATTCGAACGAATCGTATAAGTCGTTGGGTTCGGTGTTGGATTTGGCTTAAAACCTTGACTTTTGCTTGGCTTGGCTTGGCTAGACTTATCGTTAGCCTGAATATTGGAACTTTTACCGAACTTGGAAAAGGCAACTTTTACCAATGAAAGCTATTCAATCCAGTTTACTTATGGCTTTACCTACAAAAAGTACTCAGTCAGGAATCAGGCTTGATCTACATAGTACTTGATCTACATAGTACTTGATTTACATGGTACTTGATTTACATGGTACTTGATCTACATGGTACTTGATCTACATGGTACTTGATTTACATGGTACTTGATTTACATGGTACTTGATTTACATGGTACTTGATTTACATGGTACTTGATTTACATGGTACTTGATCTACATAGTACTTGATTTACATAGTACTTGATTTACATGGTACTTGATTTACATGGTACTTGATCTACATGGTATTTGATCTACATGGTACTTGATCTACATGGTACTTGATAGGCTTTACCTATCAGGCTTTACAAAGCTTACCAATTTAACTCACCAAATAGGCATCATCGGAGTGAAAGGACAAGGCCTTGACAATGTCGCCAGCCCTCAATGACACTCCAGATAGCATATCTGTAAAAAAAATAGATCCATCAAGGATTAAGCTTACAAAAGTATGGACATACGACATTTGCACATTTGGGTATTGGGTATTGGGTACGACATTTGCACAAGTTTTTGGCTTTTTTTTTTTAGCTTCTAACTCTACCATCTTTTAGTCTATTTGGATTAAATCGATATTTAAAAAAAAAACTTCGCACATTTTTCTATCATAATAAGCTTACAGAAAACAAAAATAATGAAAAATAAGAAAATTATGCACTTTTTTATTGTCGCAATCCCATTTTTCAGTTTTTGAGAGTAATTCAATTGAAACTTTTATTCGATGTGGCTGACTGGTTAAGTGTCTTTTATCTTAATCGGGGAAGGTCGAGGGTTCGAACCCCACATGCGACATGGTCACCCCCTTCGGATTTCCTTTCCCTTCGGGTTGAGAGGTTTTCTGGAGGGCAGTCTGGTGGTTGTGGCCCCAGTTCTTTAAAGTGACAAGCCACTCCTTCATCGTCATCTTCCCTTCACCACCAAAAAAGCTATTTAGTTCCCCATTGAGCTTAGGGTTAGGGAGCCGTCTGTCATGACGTGGGTTAAGTTAAGATATAGCCTAGTATTGTGTGTGTCGTTGTATTGTGATTGATATATTTCGTGTATGCGATAAATTCACCACTGGTAGCCCCAGTCGGTATTTTTTATTTGATTGATTCGAATGAAATAACTACCAAAAAGTAGCTTTAGATGTGTTTTAACAATATTCGAAAGTAAATTGGCAAAAGGAATAGAGATGAGAAAGCAGTAGCCCAAAAAAAGGCTACTTAATTTTTAACTTTTTGAAAAACTTACTTAAAACGCCCCAAAATCTGCCATCTCTATTCCTGCTGACAAATTTTTTTATCTATCTTCGCACTTAGGTGTTCCTATTTGTGCAGATGGTAGCCTGCTTCCACATTTCTCTATCTCTTGCTATTGTCATCCATTGTTTCCTATCTTGGTTGTTCCTGGTTCGAAGTCTTCGACTTGCTTGTGTTGGTGGTGGTTGCACTCTAGCCATCCTTTCTCTGACCGTCGCTGCCACTCTTGTGCTCCACCTCGTTGCTGGTCTTCCGATGGGCCTCTTCTGATCTCGTGGTAGCCACTCTGTGATCCGTATCGTCCATCTATCATGCAGCCAGGGCCATCTACGTCCAAGGTCCAGGGTCAGCCCATCTAAGTCTTTCTCTTTCAATCACTTCCACTGGATCTCTGAGTCCTGAGAGCTGACGCATATCCGTACTTCTTAGGCCTTGGTCTTGGTCTTGGTCTGCGAGAGCTGCGTCTTCCTATTGTGGAGGAGGTTCCTTTCAAGGGCTCGATGCGTCGTTCTCAGGGCTCGCTCGGTGGTCTGTGTCGTGGCCCAGGTCTCTGTCCTGTAGCAGAGTGCCGGGAGGACGGTGCTGTGTTGACAATTTACTTTCGAATATTGTTAGAACTTATCTAAAGCTACATTTTGGTAGTTATTTCATTCAAACTGGTCAAATCGAATAAAAGTTACAATTGAATTCCTCTCAAAAACTGAAAAATGAGATTGCGACCATACAAAAAAAGCATAATTTTCTTATTTTTTATCATTTTCAAATCTTTGTCATTTTTGATCTCTAACTCTACGACTTTTTAGCCTATTTGGATTATATGGGTATTAAAAAAGAGTTTCTATGATATCTAAAAATCTCAGTATTGAACAAGTACATTGAACAAGTACATTGAACAAGTTACCCTGATAATCGACAACCATTTGTCGCCTTTGTGGGAAGTGATGCTTTCGACCGTTTCGTATCGCATAACTTCGATCAGGTGGCAATTTTCTGATCATTTCGCTCTTTTTCTCAAGTCCTTTTGGTCTAAATCATAAAAGCTCATCAATTTCTTGGAAAACTCACTCTTTCTTATCGATTTCTTCATTGGCAATCGCTTTGGCTAGATGCCATTGCTTGATTTGAGCTCGAACTGTGTCAAGGTTGAATTTAGCAAATTCTTGATTGTTGTTTGTCTAAAAGCTTGAAATTTCGAGATTGGGTAAAGAAAAACTTACCGTAAACACTGTAATAGTACCCCAGCCCCATAATAACGGTGCGGAGCGTTGCGTAGTCTAGCTTTGGACGCGTTTTTCTCGACACTGGTTTATGCTACAATGCGCGCAAAGGTATCAAAAGATAGCTGAGATTTAGGGCTATTTTTTGATACCAAAGACGCATTTTTTTGAAAGTACGAGCGCTTTGGAAAAAATGAAATACTAAAAAACTGCGACATGCGACTGAAATACTTGCGACTACGCGACTGTACGAGGGGGGTGGGGTACTATTATAGTATTTACGGTAGTCACTGTTGTTAGGTAAATCATTTCTTCAACAAAACAACTTATAAATGTACTCACTTTCATACAATGGACAATCTGATGAGGCCTCGTGGCACATTTCTTCAACAAAGTGTCAACCTTGTTCAAGAATTGCTGCGAAAACGTTTGATTTGCGTCCACCACCGGACATTTGATCACTTTTGGGCTGAATTTTTGATTCTTTATACTAGAAATATCGTTCTAAAGGTACTTTGCTGTACTTTTACTATCCACAAAACAAGATTAGTGTTTACTTTTGGTTTTTGGCATTGAAGTAAATGCTAAAGGTGTCAAGGCGACAATAAACATTTAATAAATGCATTTTCTACTTACTCAAAAGTTAAATGTTACACTAATTGTAAGATTAAAATGTAAAAACTGAGCTATAATTAAGTCTACAGTATTCTCTCTAATTCTCTAGTAGTGCGCCCGGCCGAGCCGAGTTGATGACTATTTTACGGTTTCCAAATTTTTCACAGAACCTCAACACTCTAATCCCCCACTAGATCTCATCGTCAGCTACATTTTCCGACCTCACATCGATAGGTTCTGATAAGCGGTTTTCGAGATTTCGAGGAATTTAGGCAACGCGCAGGGTGCACTACTATTAGAGAAAATACGGTATGTTACAACTGTTATTGAATTTCGTCCAATTCTGAATTGGACCTCCGTTTTTGAATCGTCCAATCTACAGTTTTTTTGACCTCTCTAATGATCCATAGTTTTTACGAGTTAGCAAATATAATTTCAATTTCTATTCATTTTATTTAGTTACATTTTTAGAAGCAGTAAATACCGTATTCTCCCTAAAAGTATTGCGGGCTCGGAGGGGATTAAGAAATTTTGACAAAATTAAAATGTACTTTAAAATGCAATTAAAATTAGCATTTAAGTTTTTGCTGTTTGTAGTTTTGAATCATTTTAAGTTGAAAACACACTCTTCTACTATCTACTATCTCGACTCGACTTGGAACTCGACTCGACTCGACTTGGAACTCGACTCGACTCGACTTGGAACTCGACTCGACTTGGGACTCGACTCGACTTGGGACTCGACTCGACTTGGGACTCGACACGCGTTAGCCGGGTCGAGTTAAGTCGAGTCACTAAAGCGAAGCTACGAGGAAGATTCTAAAGGATTTGCAAATTGAAGCTATTCTGGTACCTGGAGGGTGCACTCAGTACATTCAAGCACCGGATGTTATCTGGAATGCTCCTTTTAAAACGAGGATTCAAGCCTAATATAAAGATTGGATGCTGAATGGACGAAAACCGTTGACTCACAATGGAAATCCGGTTCCACCACCAATGGGAATCTATCTGGAATGGGTTTGGAATGCGCGGAACGAACTCTCGAAGAGCTTCATCGTGCTCTCATTCAGTGCGATTACCACGGCTATTGATGGCTCTTATTCACTGCTTTAAGAAAGAAGGATTTATTCCTGAAGGCGCAAGACTTCTCAACGATGTTCGACTTGAACAATCCATCAATCGAGTAAAGGATGAATTTGAAAATATTGAATTGGATAGAGAATTGGATAGAGATAATGATTCGGATAAGAATTCTGTTGTTTATTTCTTGAATAGTTTATTTTATATCATGTTTTGTTGTTTTATTTTTGAATTTTTTGCTAATAAATTTAAAGAAAATTGTTTATTTTGCAAGAATTTTTGGAGATCTTTATCTTTTTTATATCTTTTTTAATTGAAATTTGTTTTTGTAAGCTGCTAAAACACTTTAAAAGGATTGCAGGCTTTGAGGGGTTTGTAAAGATAGTATGGCGCAATACTATTAGATAGAATACGGGAAACGAAACGATTGCTTTGTGGCGAATAGCTACTAAAAGTTATCTAACTCTGACAGCCTAAAAATTGGAAAAGTATTGAGGAAATCGGTGCGCCTTCATTCTATTTCGCGCCCCAAATCATTTATTGTTTTGTAGCTTGTTAGCTGAGTATCTTGTGTTAAAGCCTATATAAGGCAACTGTTGAGGCAACTGTTGAGGCAACTGTTGAGGCAACTGTTGAGGCAACTGTTGAGGCGACTGTTGAGGCGACTGTTGAGGCGACTGTTGAGGCAACTGTTGTTCATTTGGTTCGGTTATCTTTCATTTTCTTTCTGCTTTCCTCTCATTGTGTCAAACTTGTGTCCTAATTAGGACGAAATTCTTTCTGTTTTTATCGTCACTTCAATTGTCGTCATTCAATTGTCGATCTTGTGTGAAAGTTTGCTCAAGTGAGAGCCCAAAGATTCCGAGTCAGTCGGCTATTGAATAAAGTGTTTTTAGTTCAAGTGAGATCAGATATCTCAAAACAAGAAATAACGTGTCTTGAGTGAAGAGTACCAAGCACGCAAAGAATATTTCTTTACATGCTTGTCAACTGTGTATTCGTAAAACATGACACTCACGAGTACTGATCACTTTGCGCCATCGCGTTCAGATCGGACGTAAAGAGTGTGACGGCGAATTTAAAGGAGCACGATTTTGAGTCAAATAGAGAGACCTTGAGTTGAATTATATAAAATGGTGAAAATGAAATTCTAAGGACCATTCTAAGGACCATTCTAAGGACCATTCGAAGGACCATTCGAAGGATCTTTTCTTACCATTTCTTTTCTGATAGTATTCCGATTATTTTCCACAATTTTCGTGATATTGTACGAGATTGGAACTCGTCCTTCATAATGTCGAACAAGGATTTCTTCTGGAGAAACGTGAACGAATCTAAAATCAGATCTAGTATCAGTGAATATCTAATATCAGTGATAAGCAATTGTTACCAAATTTACGCTATTTTAATTCTATTTTAATTCGCTATCTATTTCTCTTTAGAATTTACGTGAACTCGTGTTTCCTCTGATGAACCATTTCGAGAACATTTTGCATTGATCCCCTCGAGTTGTCACAAGCTTGATCGACGATGTTGAAGAAGCCGAATCGCTTGAATAAATGAGGTTCTTTCTCTTTCTCTTTGTATTCCCTCTTTCTTCTCTGGAAACAAGATACCGGATAGCTTTTGTCCGGATAGCTTTTGTCCGGATAGCTTTTGCCCGGATAGCTTTTGCCCGGATAGCTTTTGGTTAGAGCATTTACCCGGCCAAGCAAAAAAGTCGAGAGTTCAATCCCCTCTCCGGAAATCTTTCTTTGTCATTCTAGACTTTATTACTTAAATTTTACCGGCTTGAGAAAATCCATGAACAGATTTGTTTCCTTCACTTCTCGATGAGGTAGGGTGGTTCGCTATAAAATCCATAAGATTTTATGTAAAATATTATGGATAATGCAAATGCTTGTCTCGCTTTTGTCTAGCTATTTACAGGGTGACCTTTAAATAGCTATGCCTGTGCTGCCTTGGGCATAAAAACACTTTGGAAACAAAATTCGGTGCTTTCAGCAGCTTAAAGCAATGACCACAATCAAGCCCCGATTCAAATCCAATGGATTACTCAGTCTGGAGTGTTCTCGAAGCAAAGGCCTGCTAAAAAGCTTAAAAGCACATTCAAGCATTGATTCACTGAAAAAGCCACTTCAGAAAGCTTGGGCTGAACTCGATCCTGCGTATCTTTTAGCCACCATCGACGGCTTTCCAAAACGTTTTGCCGGAGCCGCCGATAGAGATATTTTTGAGTTGAAATCAAATCAAATTGTTAAAAGCAATCTAGAGAATAAATTTTTTAAGTTAATTTTTGTTTTTTTCGATAAAAAGGTTTTTAAACCATGAGTTTTATTGGTGCGGGTGATTTTGGAGCACCCTGTATAGCCTTCATGGTTTCTTGGGCCCCGGGGTAGGGCCCCGGCCATTCAGCAGTTAACCTCCTGCGTTATCTCCGTGCTCCTGGAGGTTAACTGCTTCTTTTTGAATCAAAAGAATTAGGCACCTGAATAAAGGATACAGAAACACATATTAGCTGACTAGGTTGATCAATTCTAAATCAATTTGTTTCTATTAGGTTGATGCAAAAGTCTTTTTCATTTTTTTTCGTACTTCCGTTAAAAAGTAACAAATGCACCAATTGAACAACGGTTTATTGCATTCGAAAGGCCAATTATTTTTCTGCAAAATGACATTAAAACGAGTTTAAAATGTCTTATGTCTAGATTTTTTTGAGAGCCTGAAGTCGGGTAGTCAAAAAAGGCGACGGCTCGATGATGCATTTTAGACGCTTTAGCTAAGGAAACCAATCTTGATGTTAATAAATAAAAGATAGAGCACAAAAAGTTAGATATTTTTTCAGATTTTCAGAGAAATTGACTCAGCCAATTTCTTTATAGAGGTTTTTATAGATTTTTATGAAAAACCCGTTTTCACTCTCGAATTTGCTTGAAAGTGAACCCAAATTGACTTAAAAAGATGGGAAATTGAACAATAAACACTTTTCATTCAGAGCAAACCATAGGTTAATTGATGACTTTGTTATTTTTCAAAAGAAGTACGAAAAAAATGAAAAAGACTTTTGCATCAACCTAATAAATCAAAAATCAAAATGTTTCTAAACAAGTCAAGTCCAAAAAAAATGCATTTTGATGAAATTCGGGCAATTTTGGGGCATTCTGCAGTATTTTTTGATACCAAAAGTATAATTGGAAAAAAATCTAGGGATTAAGAAAAATGATTTTCTAAAAAGAAGTTAAACTACCCGACTGTATGAGGGGCTTTGTTTTAAAGTATTGGGTTGATGCATAATTATCCGGACTTCTTTTATAAATGATTTTATTTAACAAAAAATAACATAAATAGTTAGAAAAATATGTTTAATTGATTATTCTGGAGCATATTCACCGCCTACATCAATAACTGATTGCCATTTGCTTGGAAGACGATCGATTCCACGAGCGAAGAATAAACGATCTTTGGAGGCAATCCACGCTTTAACATCGTCTATCAAGTCATCCAAATCGTTGTAGATCTTATTTGTTTGCCAATTTTTGAGCGATCGATTGACGTGGTAGTCCGTTGGGGCTTCTCCAGTTCTTTGAGATCGCGAAACGACTCTGCGGCAGACCATCCCTTTTCGAAGTGGTAGAGCATGATATGGCGAAGATGGATATGATTGTCGACACGCATTTTGTTCACTAAAGAATAACGAATATTTAAAAAAAAGAAATAGACAAAAAGCTTTCAAAACAAAAAGATACAAGCACGCAAAAAGAAGCCCGGATAATTATGCATCAACCCAATATTTACGGTATTTGGTATGCTTTTTGTACTGTAGTGAGACAAGAGAATAAGAATTTACAAAATTTTCAACTAACCATGAAGAAATGTCTTGTTTTTTCAGCGGCCATATTCGCACAGAGTTCGTGCAGTGATCGGGTGCCTCGTTGATTCACTCCAGTCAAACCAGCAATGTCGATGATGTCGATTTTACTCGAACCGATCTCGATTACACTTCCGATTCCTAGAAAGCTATAACTTGGTGATCAAAAGTTCTCCCAAAAGCTACCCGAATCATCATTCACGCTCCCGTCCTCGGAATCGTTTGAAGAGCCAAGCTCAAACAAAGCGTTCGTTCGTCGGATTACCATTTGCACCAAACGAGAGTATAGTGAAGCAACGAGATGGTCACGTTCCATTCTTGCCTAATAATCAAATAAGATTTCCAGATTAAAAAGATAGAACATTTTATATCGAGCGAAAGTTCTTTTGCATCAATCTAGTAGCATTTAGTAGAATTGCTAAATTGGTCAATCGATTTTGCAAAATTGCTAAATGATAGACGACTAAATTCTGTTTAGCAAAATTGCTAGATGGTAAACCGGTAAATGTTAGGTGGTAAATGGTAAATAGTTTGGTGGACCCCGGCTCTGTAATTCTGCAATTAACAGTACATTGCCACTTGCAGTATCAGCCTCATTCTTCAATTGTTTTTTCAGAGGCTTTTTCACCTACACTATGTGCTTATTTGGTCTTTCATTGATATCGGTGACTTTCATCATTATTCAACAAGAGGTTGATTTGATTTATTTCATTTTTGAATTTATTCTAGTCAATAGTTTGTTTCAGATTCAGAAAAAAGGTAGATTAAATATATGCACATAAAAATGGATACCGTATTTTCTCTAATAGTAGTGCTCTAGACTCTCAATATCAACCCCATCCTCTTTATTTAAGGGGATTTTATTTTGTTATGTAAATCAATTCACAATGGACAGTGTTTTCATCCCAGTCGCCTCTTCTTTATGTACAATCACCGAACGAGCGATGAGTTTTTTGAAGAGTGAAAGAGCGGAAAGACCAAGGAGGAAAGCCGCGTCTTCCATGTCTAAATTTGAAAGAATTTTCGAAACAATAGAACTACGACTAGTTGCAATTTCTAGGTACAATTTTCAATGCCATTTAAATACAATTTTATTATTAGACTTTAGTGCTTTAGAAGCTTTGAAAGAATATGCTTTGAATGCTTAGAATGTTTAGAATGCTTAGAATGCTTAGAAGGCTTAGAAGGCTTAGAAGGCTTAGGGTGCTTAGAATGCTTTGAATGCTTAGAATGCTCAGAATAATGCTTTCAGAAATCAAACCATTGAGATTCTCAATATCAACCCCATCCTCAGTCTCGTAGAACATCAGATTGTTCAAGAGAGCACATGCGGCCAAAATTCTCAAAACGTCATCAAAAGGAAGACAAAGCGTGCTAAAGTTTTTCGTGTAACTTTAACCATCGAGCTTACCTTAAAGCGTTTCGAATTTCTGACAGTCGAATGCTGCTCGCGGATCCATTGTTCAAACGGAAGCCAGCAATACGGAACTTTTCTGAAATTCAACCATCCCATGAATTCCCTTATTCGGCTCTAGATTTTGCTTTGTTGAACCTTTTTCAGTTGGACCCATTTGAGAAGCAATCGTAGCGAAAAGCAAAGCCGAACATCGTCTAGAGGAGGCCTCTGAAATAGTCACTTTACAATTATTTAAGTCTACATCTTGCTTCCCGTATTTCCCCTAAACAGTAATGCACCCGCTAAACAGCTTCGCCTAAATTCTTCGAAATCTCGAAAAGCGCTTATCAGAACCTATCGATGTGGGGTCGGAAAATGTAGCTGACGATGAGATCTAGTGGGGGATTAGAGTGTTGAGGTTCTGTGAAAAATTTGGAAACCGTAAAATAGTCATCAACTCGGCTCGGCCGGGCGCACTATTAGGGAAATGCGGTAACGGCGAGAATGTTTCCTAGCTGTTTCCTAGGTGAGCTCGTTAAAAACGCTCACACTCGAACAATTTTATCGCAAAAGCTAATCAATCTCATGCATCAACTCGACTCGGCCGCGTGCACTACTATTGGGAAAAATGCGCAATCCAGCCTAAAGTGGCGTTGTCCTTACCTGAGATAAAATGTCTTAGAATGACTCGTTGTAAACGACCATCTTTAATTCCGACTTCCCACCAGTGTACCTAAACTTTTATGAAGTAAAAATCAAAATTACAATCAAAAATTGATGACTTAACAAAATCGAAAAGGGCTTTTAGATAGCTTACAGTAGCATTGAAAGCTAAAGAATTTATGTTTCAGAATCCGATCCGGCCGTCAGGAACGGATAATGACTAGAATCCGATCCGGCCGTCAGGAACGGATAATGACGTCAGAATCCGATCCGACCATCAGGAACGGATCATGACGTCAGAATCTGATCCTGCCGTCAGGAACGGATATTGACTAGAATCCGATCCGGCCGTCAGGAACGGATAATGACTAGAGTCCGATCCGGCCGTCAGGAATGGATCATGACGTCAGAATCTGATCCTGCCGTCAGGAACGGATATTGACTAGAATCCGATCCGGCCGTCAGGAACGGATAATGACGTCAGAATCCGATCCGGCCGTCAGGAATGGATCATGACTAGAATCCGATCCGGACGTCAGAATCCGATCCGGTCGTCAGGAACGGATATTGACTAGAATCCGATCCGGCCGTCAGGAACGGATAATGACGTCAGAATCCGATCCGGCCGTCAGGAATGGATCATGACTAGAATCCGATCCGGACGTCAGAATCCGATCCGGTCGTCAGGAACGGATATTGACTAGAATCCGATCCGGCCGTCAGGAACGGATATTGACTAGAATCCGATCCGGCCGTCAGGAACGGATAATGACGTCAGAATCCAATCCTATTCGATCCTACCAAAAATGAGAACGGATTCTGAGGTCAGAATCTAATCTAAAGCAAGTTTAAATGGTGCTTGATACAAAATACTAGTAGTTTAAGCGTCGCTACGGTTAAAAGAGTTGCAAAATCGTTTTCTCTGTGTTTTATCACCAAGAAGCCTTCAAAAATAAACAAAAGTCTTTTGTTGAAATCATTTGCAAAAGTTATAGCGTAGAAAATATGAATTTTTATGTCATTAAAGTTCATTTGCATTTAAAATTAGGCTAATTCTCATTTAAAATTAGGCTAATTTTCATTTAAACAAGCTTTGGATCGGTTTCTGATATCAGAATCTTAATGATCGGTTTCTGATATCACAATCCGACCTTATTTTTGGTGGGATCGGCTTCTGACATAACGTATGCATTAAAACTTACCATTCTACTCGATCTCGGATTGTTGAGTGTGGTGACAGAGGTGAGTGCTTGAAGGAGAAGGGTTGAGGAGCGAATCGCGTTCACAATCACACTGTCCGCTTTCGCCGTTCTTTCCACAATGGCCACAATGGCTTGTTCGGCGAGGAAAGATTTCCCAGAACCGCTTTCTCCACTAAAACTTTTTTTTATGATTCTTTTTGCAAAAGTCGAATTTTTTAAAAGCTTTAACAGCTTTTGCATGATGAGAAATAACGGAAATGAAGAAATGACGGAAGATCAGTATGCCAAGCTTTAATATTATTAGACTTTAGTGCTTTAGAAGCTTTGAAAGAATATGCTTAGAATGCTTAGAATGCTTTTAGCTTTTAGCTTTGGCTTTTAGTTTATAAATTTGGGTTTAAAGGGGTATTCCGGTCCTCAGCAAAATCCGATTTTTGCTTCGAACATTATAAACATTATTAGAGCTAGATTATAAGGGATATAAGAGCATTATAAGCCGTTCTCAGGGACCGTCGCGGGCTACCGGTTTGACCGAGTGGCTAGTGTTCTTGCCAAAGAGGCCAACCATCGAATGGGCCAACCATCGAATGGGCCAACCATCGAATGGGCCAACCATCGAATGGGTCAACCATCGAATGGGCCAACCATCGAATGGGCCAACCATCGAATGGGCCAACCATCGAATGGGCCAACCATCGAATGGGCCAACCATCGAATGGGCCAACCATCGAATGGGCCAACCATCGAATGGGCCAACCATCGAATGGGCCAACCATCGAATGGGCCAACCATCGAATGGGCCAACCATCGAATGGGCCAACCATCGAATGGGCCAACCATCGAATGGGCCAACCATCGAATGGGCCAACCATCGAATGGGCCAACCATCGAATGGGCCAACCATGCCAAAGAGGGTTCGAATCCCGCTCGTTTCCCTTTGGCTTTTGCTTTTTTGTTTTTCATTAGACTTTTCAAGAAGCGATTAGCTGAGGCCAAGGTCCTTACGAATCTGTAGAATTATTACCCTTTCATTAACGAAAGCTAAAAAACCTACCGTAAATACTGTAATAGTACCCCACCCCCCTCGTACAGTCGCGTAGTCGCAAAAGTTTTTTAGTATTTCATTTGTTTTCAAAGCGCCCGTACTTTCAAAAAATGCGTCTTTGGTATCAAAAAATAGCTGAAATTCAGGGCTATTTTTTGATACCTTTGCGCGCATTGTAGCATAAACCAGTGTCGAGAAAAACTCGTTCAAAGCTAGACTACGCAACACTCCGCACCGTCATTATGGGGGTGGGGTACTATCACAGTATTTACGGTAGCTTTAAAAATAACTTAAAAACTAACAATAAGCCTTTAATAGGCGACAGTTTACAGCCAATTCTAGGTTTAGATCTTTACAGGATACTTTTAGAAAGGCTTCGTTGCGTAAACAAAAACTTTTGCGACTACGCGACTGTACGAGGGGGGTGGGGTACTATTAGAGTATTTACGGTAGTTTTTAATTGATACTTTCCCATCGTCCCATTAAATGATTTAAAATTGGTAAACTTAATAAAAGGTGATCAAGATCTAAAAGAAAGAAAAACTCGTTAAATACCGAAAGCAAAGCCCTGAATTAACTTTCAGTTGCTTAGCTGAATATCATAACGATCTTTTGCTGGTTGTTACCGTAGTCTAGACAAAAAGAACGGTAGAATTAATTCTCTTATGCAAAGGTTCCGTCACATTGCATGGTGCAAAGGTTCCGTCACATTTTAGACTCCCAAACGCATTTTTTTCATTTTTTCACAGTTTTTCATAGGTTTTTCGGATTTTTTTTAGTGTTTTCAAGGTTTTTCTTTATGCAATCGTTATAGAAGAGACTGAAAAGACGATCGGTAAACAAATAGTCGTGGTTTTAGAAAATCCCTTTTGAAGCCTGTGTACCCCTTTAAAAACAGCGTCTAAATATGCAAATACAAGTACAATTTGTTTGTACAATTGTTAACGCAGATTTTCTATAGACTCACGTGAAAAGAATCATCATCTCAGCTTGTCTTAAAGCATAAGTAGCAAGTCGGGAAATGGCTGAATAGCGAAATGCTCTTCCCACACCAATGTTATTGTTGGGATTCACGAAGAGAAGCAATGAACGAGCTTCGAACTGAAACACAATGAGTCGAATATTTTCTAGGTAATAAACCCAGCAAGCACTTTCACTGAAAGCATTATGGAGGAAATCGAGTAATTGTTCTTCAGTCGATGCTGTTTCTTCATTCACTGTCCACACGGCATTCCATCGAGGAATTAGTTGGGTTGAGCCTGGAAGGCGCATTATGACAAAAATCCGTTAAAGGACTTTTAAATGATTGCGTATGTACGTATGCGTATGTACGTATGCGTATGTACGTATGCGTATGTACGTATGCGTATGTACGTATGCGTATGTACGTATGCGTATGTACGTATGCGTATGTACGTATGCGTATGTACGTATGCGTATGTACGTATGCGTATGTACGTATGCGTATGTACGTATGCGTATGTACGTATTCGTATGTACGGATGCGTATGTACGTATACGTATGTACGTATGCGTATGTACGTATGCGTATGTACGTATACGTACATACGTACGCTTTGATGGGTTCATAACTTTATTTGGAGATAATAGTATTGTTAACTTTTATATAGTTTTAATGAGGACATTTTAGGTTTTCAAATGAAAACAAATAGAGGTTGATTGGACTAATCAATCTTGGAGAATCGAGAGACAAAACTATCAAGCTGGGTCGCATTGTTCTCCTAGTTTAATTGCTTGTTTAATAAGTTTGTGTACTTTATAAGAAATGGATGTTAATGCTAAGAAAGATAAAAGTTAGCTTGAAGTCCGTAGAGAATGGTGTATCAGCAGTGTTGAAAAGGCAAAAATTATCAGGGAAAAAGAGGTTTCCCCTAAAAGGGTACTGGGTCTACACACTGGTACTAGTCGTACTTGTATTACTTGGATTTGATTATAATATTGCAGGCATGGTATTGGTACTAGTTCAGGTACTAGTTTAGCTGCTAGTTTAGCTGCTAGTTTAGCTGCTAGTTTAGGCAAATCTCAGTGAATAGCTTGTCAAATAGAGCCAATGAGCCAATCCAAATAAGCTCACTTGTGCTCGCCTGACTCCGTCCACTGCAACTCGTCTCCGCATAGGTTCTTTGTGGTTTTGGTGGTGGCGGGAATGACGGTCGTTGAGCTAAAAATTCAAATAAAGATTTAAACTAGGCATCACTAAAGTTAGGCATCACTTGGAGTCAAATTGTTCGTGATCATGATCTCTCTTCTCGGCAGAGTCACATTGATTTGTTGTAGTGGCTTCAACAAAGCTGATGTTAGGAGAATTCTGAAAAGAATGGGGAATGAGAAATGGGAAATGGGAAATTTTGAAAGCTACAGGGTGACCAAGAATTACCGCAACAACTTTTTGGAAGAGTGTCTGGGAAATGTCTAATTTATTTCAAAAGTGGCAAGTGTTATATAGAGAATTGTAGGCCTAATTCTCGGCAACATTTATCTACCAAAAACATCCCGTTTGGACTTATACAACTCATTTAACAAGCGCTTGAATGAGTACTAGTTGATCTCTCTGATCGTGCGGGAGAAGGATCAACTCGTACTCATTCAAGGGCTTACAAAATGAGTTCTATATCTTCAAAAACCTTTAGCAGATAAATGTAGCCAAGATCAAGAGCTTCAATATTTTATATAACATACTGTTGAACTTGGAGCTTGAGAGCGCTTGAATGAGCGCTAGTCGACATCTCTCCGGCGAATCTGTCATTTGGTCACTTTTCTCTATTAAAAATTGTTAAGAAAAGCTTTTCTGAGTCAAATTTGTGGTAATCTTGTCCAAATTGTTTTCGAAAACATTGTTTTCAACAAATTCATAGCGCCAGAACAGCTGATACAACGAGATACGCAGATGAACTATCGAAAATACTCATTTTCACCTTTTTTCTCCTCCAAAAGGAGCTTGACATCAACTTGACATCATTTTGGTTATACCAGTCCAGCCAAAACATTTAAGTGTGATTCCTAATGTTATTAAGTGATATTAAACGCTATTTTTGCATTGAAGAAATCTTGAAAAGCTTTTCTTAACAATTTTTTATAGAGAAAAGTGGTCAAATGACAGATTCGCCGAAGCGATGTCGACTAGCGCTCATTCAAGCGCTTGTTAAATGAGTTGTATAAGTCCAATCGGGATGTTTTTGGTAGATAAATGTTGCCGAGAATTAGGCCTACAATTAGGCCTACAACAGGCCTACAATTCTCTGTATAACACTTGCCACTTTTGAAATCAATTAGACATTTCCCAGATACTCTTCCAAAAAGTTGTTGCGGTAATTCTTGGTCACCCTGTATAATCGATAATTGAATTTTTTACCTGCTAGGAGAAGGGGTGAATCCATGAGTTTCTTCTTCAAATTGCGTATCCAAAGCCGTGGAAAGCCGAGAATCCGTTGAGCGACAGGCTGAGCAAAGTTGAGCTCTCATCTCGGTTAGTTGCTCAGAAAGCTGAAATAAGAAATTTCGATATAGATGAACTGTTTAAGTACACGACTAACTTTGGTTATAAAGCCAAGCTTTTTCATTTCAATAATTGTTGGAGGGATTTTTATTGGTTTATTGTGTAGCCAATATGAAATAGTCCGTTCTCCAACTTGTCAGCTGCGAGCCAAACTGATATTTTAGTTACTATTGTTATTATTGAATGATTTGTCTATTCTTATGCAAATGTGTCCTCCCCTGTGCTTCTCCCTTTTATTGCCGAGAAGGGGCGGTTCTTGGGATTGCCTAGGAGGACAGTGAGAAGCCTAGGAGGACAGTGAGAAGCCTAGGAGGACAGTGAGGAGCCTAGGAGGACAGTGAGGAGCCTAGAAGGACAGTGAGGAGCCTAGAAGGACAGTGAGGAGCCTAGAAGGACAGTGAGAAGCCTAGAAGGACAGTGAGGAGCCTAGGAGGACAGTGAGGAGCCTAGAAGGACAGTGAGGAGCCTAGAAGGACAGTGAGAAGCCTAGAAGGACAGTGAGGAGCCTAGGAGGACAGTGAGGAGCCTAAGAGGACAAGTGAGACTCTCATTTGGAGCCCCCCTTCCCCTTACACTTATTTGTAATTTATTCGTCTTATTATATTACTGTAAATAAAGATACATATCTTCCGGGTCTATGCAACTGCAGTACAGGTCGATCATTTCACAGGGACTCTCCTCTAATACGTTGGAGGAGTTGAGTTGGGTTGTCGGGGTGTTAGAGATGGCGGGATATCAAAAGGGATCCACTCTCTTTAACTTAACCCAAATTCTAGTCCACATCCGTTTATACCTAGGAACGAATAAACTACAAGGTACGCGAAAAGTTCTGGCTCCTTTCCAAGAGTTATTTGTACGGATCGAAGCAAGGAATTTAGAGAAAAATGGACTTTAAATTTGAAAACTTTGACTATTTTTTACCTAGAAATGCTTTTTTATAAAGGTTTTTATTTTGAAAATCCATTTTTTTGGCTGAATTGCTCACAGACCACCCCTGGCTTTATTCTGGCCTTTTTGAGTTGAAAATTTTAACGATGCTTAAAAATGGCAAGCTCTTAACCAATTTGACCGTAAAGTCGATAATTTTAAAGGGAAATGTTTCTTCTTTTCTAATATTTAAAAGTTATTTCGGCTTTTTTAAAATCAATTACCATTAGAGGTGATTTTATTGATTCGAATCAATCAATTTAACAGATAAATGTAGCCAAGGCTAAGGGCTTCAATACTTTATATAACACTTAACATATTAAGGTTGAAGTTGGCGTTTGGGAGTTAATCTACCAAAAAGAAGTCGTAATCAAGATTGCGATTGACACGTTTTATTGAACTCTACGTAAGATGGTTCTCCTAAAACAAAGGGCTATGTTTGATTTGGCCACTTTTTTAAGCATTTGCTCTACTTGTTATAAACTTTTCTCTGCATTGATAGCTATTTCATAATTGATATTTGATTGATTTGATTGATTTGATTGATTTGATTGATTTGATTGATTTGATTGATTTGATTGATTTGATTGATTTGATTGATTTGATTGATTTGATTGATTTGATTGATTTGATTGATTTGATTGATTTGATTGATTTGATTTGATTTGATTTGATTTGATTTGATTTGATTTGATTTGATTTGATTGATTTGATTTGATTTGTTTATGCCTTAAGAAGCGACGATTTTTGAAGAAAGGACAGAACTTTTCACGGACTCTTTATAGGTTTCTTTATAGGTTAACTTGTTACAAGTCTAAAGCTTCAAGTTTCAGCCTTGAAGCATTTAAACCAACTCTTGAAACTGAACAACTTGAACAACTTCTTTACAACGATAAACTTTTACCGTATCGATATCATTTCGCAGCTTTTGTAGATTCTTTTCATTGTGTATTGGATGAATTGTGTGCACTGGATGCAGCTGTGATCGGATCAAATCCAATGGGAGAGGGCCCGTGCCAGAGTGGATCGCCGGCGGCAGCACCGGCACACAGAGTCGGCCTCGCGGCAGACTATGCGAGTGGTGCATTCACTGAAACGATGATCAAAGTTGTTCTCCAATAAAGTCAATCAATGTAAAAGTCTTATTATGGAACGTCGCCAGATGCCCGTGACCTTGTGAAAAGAGATCAACATCATCTTATAGAACCACTACGCTGATTCCGTTGAACTGAACTCAAGTAAGGAGAGCTAAAACTTGTAACCCAGATATCTCGCGTTACAGGCCTTGAGGGGAAAAATCGAAAACGGATTCGGAATAAGCGATTCTATAAGATGGAGTTGGTCTCGTTTCAAAAGGTTATCGGACATTGGCAACCAAACTTTAAGCTCAATTATCTTGGTGTTGGGTTGTTCGATTTAAACTTTCTTGTTATCATTAGATGCGCCAAGTCTTTCTCTATCGATTGGTATAAAAACTATTTAAATTAAACAGCCCAACACCAAGATATTTGAGCTCAAAGTTAGATTGCCAATGGCAAGGGGGCGATGCGCGTATAAAAGTTCCCTCGCCCCGCCCTCTTTGCCGTTGGTAATCTAACTTTGAGCTCAAATTTCTTAGTGTTGGGCTGTTCAATTTAAACTTTCTTGGAATCATTAGATGCGCCAAGTCTTTCTCTATCGATTATCGATGAAAAACGTGCAGCACTAGCACTTTTTCTTTTAAAATATAGTCAAAGGATAAGACGGTACAATCAAAACATCGAAAGTTGTTTAAGAATTGAAAAGAATATAAAAATTGATTGAAAGCATCGCTTAAAGCATTTTCACACTATATTATTGCACGAATTAATCCCATTCTTAAACTTATCAGCTTTCAAAAATGATTTCCCATAAAGAGTTCAAGTTTAGAAATCTAAAAAGTTTAGAAAACAAAGAAATTTAGAAAACAAAGGAAATTCTATTAATTCTATAATTCTATTAATTAAAATGATTTATAAAACAAGGAAAATCGAGAAAATCGAGTATTTCCGATTTTCTCGATAAACGTTAGGAAATTCTCGACGAGAGAAGAATCATTTCTCGAATCTGTCATCGGGGTCTTGTCCTGTCGCGTGGCGTCAACCGAAAACCACACCTGAAATCCCCCCGAAATCCTCTTTATCCACAATATTGATTCATTTTCAGGAAAAAGTGATCGACAAATATTTGAGTTGGCCTTGATTTTGGTTGAATACGTTGAACGGGATTTTTCTATCTTCTAAGAAAGAGTAAGAAAAAGAGTTATCAGTCCTTTAACATTTATATTGGGTTGTCCAGTTATGAATGTCCAGTTATGAATGTCCAGTTATGAATGTCCAGTTATGAATGTCCAGTTATGAATGTCCAGTTATGAATGTCCAGTTATGAATGTCCAGTTATGAATGTCCAGTTATGAATGTCCAGTTATGAATGTCCAGTTATGAATGTCCAGTTATGAATGTCCAGTTATGAATGTCCAGTTATGAATGTCCAGTTATGAATGTCCAGTTATGAATGTCCAGTTATGAATGTCCAGTTATGAATGTCCAGTTATGAATGTCCAGTTATGAATGTCCAGTTATGAATGTCCAGTTATGAATGTCCAGTTATGAATGCCTACTCTTGATCAGCATACCATAGAGCTATACAATAGAGCTATACAATAGAGCTATACAATAGAGCGTATACGGTATCTGTCTGTCTTTCTGTCTGCCTTACTGTATGGGCATTTTTTCAGCCGTATTTTGATCAATATTTCATTTTGCATGGATATTCTATTTTAAGTTGTTTTTGGTGTGATTCGATGCGTAATTTCATTCTGCATCAGTTAAAATAGTCAATATATTGGGTTGGTGAATTGAAAACTGCCGGCTATTGTCATATGTGACAGTTTGAGCACTTTCTTCAAAAGAAACCCATTTTGGTGTCAATGGAAAAGTTGTAGAGAATCAAAAATCAAGCTTATATCCAAATTTTCAGAACGATTCAAAAACTGGTTTTCAAGAAATGCCAAATTTGCGAATTTTCACGAAACTTGCAACAAATCTTGCATTTTAAGCGAAACTACTAAGTGTATCTTTTTGGGAATTTAGCTATAAGCCTAATTTTTGATTCTCTACAACTTTTCTATTGACACCAAAATGAGTTTCTTTTGAAGAAAGTGCTCAAACTGGTCCTCCATTTTTGAACATCTCCAGTCCTCCATTTTTGAGTCTCACACTTGTCTCACACACAAACCAAAATCCTACTACGAAAGGGGAATCCGCAAATTGCCTGTAAAATGGTCAGAAGTCGTCAATAATAATGGAAATTATTTGGAATGAATTCATGGTTTTATGTTGAATACATTTTAGTTCAAAGTCCCGCAGTTTTCAATTCACCAACCCAATAGTCCATTACTTATTTGACAGCTTAAATACTGTCAAATATTTTTGTTTTTTGTCAAGTTGTCTGTCAAGTTGTCAAGTTGCTGAAATCTGTAGCAATTTAGCACATTTAAATCTAAACTTTGCCCCACCAGGGTCCATTTGCGTACTTTGTAATCTAATGGAAAGGGATGAAAAGAGAAAAGAGAAGATTTTAAACCCTCTTTGAAGTTCAATATTCTATTTTATAAATAGATAGCTTAAAGGTTTATTCACTACTCTTTCATTACAAAAGCAAGAGTCTATTAGCGTTCTTTTGGCTAGCAAGACTTGCAAGTTGTTGATTGATGCTTTAAACCCTAAAAAACTCACCTCCACTCTTCTTTATGACCTTGTCCTATCATTTGATTATCAAATACACATTTGACGAACAAATACACATTTGAGTAAGAGAAAAAAGTTTATGCTAATCGACTGGAAAGGTGAAAGGTCTGGAAAGGTCATTTTTAACGACTGGAAAGGTCATTTTAACCTCATTTTTAACATTTTAAGAACTTCAAATCAAACTGTTTCCTTTTTCAATTCCTTTTTCGATTCCTTTTTTTCAAGCTCTGTCATAGGTTTTATTCGTATTTTCCCCCAGCACGAGCTCTTTTTTTCCGCACTGATTATTTTCAAACGTGTATACAACGGCCTTCATTCAACACACAAAAACCCGCGCTTGTTATGAATAAAACGGGAAAAAAGGAAAGGGTATAGAAATGAGAAAAAAGAAAGAAAGAAAAAGGGAAAGTGACGAGAAAAAAAAAATACTTTCTGATCTTTCTGATGGACAATATAACGTTTTTTCTTTGCTATGCCTTTTATCTTGAAACTATCGACTCTTCTAAGTGGATAGTCTGACTTTGACAGAGATTTTCTCTGTTTGTTTCTCATGTTTTTACACCATTTTTCTCTATGTTTCTATGCCAAATTTAATGTAGATTCTAAGAAAAGAAACCAGGAGTTGATTGGGTTTCTAGACCTGGAGTTATGACGATTCTAGACCTTTTCTAGACCATTTAATTGGATCGACTCTTCTAAGTATTAGGTGTGTGAAAAAGTAATCCACGTTTTTTATTTTTATCTGATGGCCAAATAAGACGCTGTCTTCTCGAAAACCCTCGTTCAACCTCTTCAGAAATAGGCCTTACATTAAATTGTGATGGGTCAACCGTAAGGAAACGCTTGAATGCCATGAATTTTATCAAAAAGTTGGACAAATGGATACCGCATGAACGATAACGCGCGACCACATGTCTCTTTACAGACTCGACAAAAAATCCAGAGTGTTGGATGGGAGGTTTTACCACATCCACCTTATAGTCCAGACCTTTCTCCATCTGATTATTATTTATTTTTGTCTCTGCCTAACTTTTTGACCAATAAATGGTTCAATTCCGAAGAAGATGTCAAAACCGAGGTCTTCTCTTCTTTTCTCATCTTTTCTTCGCCTCTAAGGACCAACTTTTTTATTATCGTGGAATGTCTTTACTTGTAGAACGTTGGCAAAAGGTTGTTCTTTCGAATGGTGATTACTTCGTTGAATAAAAATTATTTTAACGAAACTTATGGTCTTTTATATTTAAACGTTAAAAACGTGGATTACTTTTTCACACACCTAATAGATAGTCAGAGAAACATAGAGAAACATGATGTAAACATTTGACAGAGATTTTCTCTATGTTTTTACATCATGTTTCTCTATGTTTCTATGTCAAATTTAATGTAGATTCTAATAAAAGAAACCAGGAGTTGATTGGGTTTCTAGACCTGGAGTTATGACGATTCTAGACCTTTTCTAGACCATTTAATTGGATCGACTCTTCTACGTAGATAGTCTGACTTTGACAGAGATTTTCTCTATGTTTTTACACTAAAGTGTATTAAATGACTTATGGCTTTCTATAACCGAATTTCATAAGGAACATTTTAAGACCAATCACAAGTTGATCGGTCAATTGGAAGTTGAGATATGGAGGAGAAGAGAAGAGTCGTGTTGAGATATGGAGATATGGAGGAGAGACTTTTTTGAATGATTTTTAAATCTTCATAATTTTAATCCATTGACGACGGCGCATCTTTTGCGAAACGGCTGATTTGAAATCAGGAATCAAAATGAATAACCAAATCCCAGAAATTTGCATTTAAGGGCTTAAAAGGCTCTAGAATCCGAATCTGGGCTTAAATTTAGGCCAACAAACTTCATATAGTTTATTTTCACAGTTTAAATTATTTGATTTTATACGCCATAAGCCCACTCGGTCATGGAATCCCGGTTTTTCCGTTTTTTACGAAAAATCACACAATTTTCTCATAAAACTAACGTCGGATTCGGAAAGAGGATCCAAAATTGCATGCTTTCACAAATTTTGGGCTGATTTGGTTCAGCCATTTACGAGAGGCAGCTGTGACTCGGCGTTGAGTGGTCGTCGGTGTTGATGGGTCTCTTTCTTGGCGGGTTTGGGGGGGCAGGGTTCCTCCCAGGATCAATCATTCACCACACCTTCCTCACCCTCCGATTCCCAAAGGGGAAGCCCTTTATGCCAGACAGGCATGCCAGCTTGTGAGCGATTACACGGCTGCACAAAGAACACCTTTCCGGTCATTTACAAAATGACTTCTCTTTTGCTTTGTAGATGATCAAGAGAAGATATTGAGCCGG